AAGACCCTTAAAAATTTAAAAAAACTGTAAGTCTTACTGTTTCATTTATACTTCTGTGCAGTAGCAGGCCTTTAAAAGAATTTCAGTAGTTGTTTATATTCTCTATAGTCTATCCCTGTTTACATGCTAATAAACTTTATTGAATAAAGAAATATCGGGATGAATCAGGTTCCTTGTATTCACGGGAAAATGTTAGAAGGTTTAGCTGATTTAGAGGAGTTGTATGCTTTTTCCCCTTGTATTAAGCTTTCTGAAACAGCTCCGTGTTTATATGCTATTTTTCAAGGTCTTTCTGGGATAATCAAATAACGTCGATAGCTGCCAATTCTTTTAGCGAACTTTCTTCATTAACCTCTTTGTGCGTCATTTAATATTTTATAAGAGATGATATAGAGTTATTATAATTACCTGGTTTTTAGAGTTTTAGACTTTAATAAAATCACTGCAGTCCACGAGGAAACTTTTAGTAAATTGCCCAACTTGAAAAATTTGTAAGTTTTAGGACATTTTTAAAAAAGCTTAAAAGATGTTTGGGCATTAACTCAGTCTAAATGCTTTTTTTTTGCAGATATTTATCTTCTAATGGGTTACATTCTATTGATTTTAATACTTTTAAGAGTCTATCTTCCCTGGAATACTTGTAAGTATTAAAATTCTTATTGTAAACTATCCTATTACAAACACTAGAGTATATCGTTCTTTATTTTAAAGGACTTTATTCAAAAATGCGATGACTACTCTTAATAAGGACATGTTCGAAGGCCTGATAAGCTTAAAAACTTTGTAAATATCCTCGCAATATCTATATTATTAGTAAATTATAATAAAATGATAATTTTTCATCATAATGTTTTGGGTTTTGAGCAGTTTTTATACAGATATCTCACGAGTAATCCAATTACCGTTCTTGGCTCAAATCTATTTGATAAACTGCCATCCTTGACCACACTGTACGTAAATGATATAAATCGATTATTACTCATTTTTTGAATACCATTATCTCATGAAAATTAAAAAAAATATTTGTCACTACAGAACTTTCGGCAGCTGTAAAATTAATTCTATTGATAAAGAGGCGCTTCAGGGCTTAACTAATTTACAAAAACTGTAAGTTATTATTGCTGCTTAGAAAATTTTAAACATTTTTAGTATAACTAAAATTATATTTTCGTACTATATAGAACATTTTATAGTAACAAGTTAACATCGATCGCTTCTAACACCTTCAAGAATCTTCCCTCTTTAACACACTTGTAAGAAAAATAATATTAGGAACTATTATTATTTTTTCCAATATTATAACTATAGGGACCTCAGAAAGAACCCTTTAACCTTTATCGCTCCCGACGCGTTTGACGATACTTTTAACTTTAGTAGCCTGTACACCAAGTCTATATAATAATATTTATATTCATGCTTACATCTTCGTCGACGGTTATTCAATAGAGAGGTAAACCTTGATGCGGGATTCCCTTGCTGTTCACGTCTTGCTCTTCAAAGTAGATTTAGCGTTGATCCGATAAGCGAAGTGTACTGCGAGCATTTAGGAATATATAGATTATTTAACTTCCAGCTCAAGAAACTAAGAGAGGACTGTGCAGATAACACTCTACAAAGCAATCCATCCGTGAATTAAACAAGTTATCTGTTAAGGATATAAACTTATGACATTAAATGGCTTGACACGAATCTACTTATGCTACTTTACATCTGCTTTATTTGTTGATTACATGTTTATATTTAATTTTTTGGGGTATTGATGTTTCAAAATTGCCTCTCGCAAAGCTAACGACTTAAAAAAAAGTATATAAAAGTGACGGTTATATAATCTATATTTGTTGATTGGACATAGTCTAATGACGCTTATAGGTAAAATCAAACCACAACCACACCGAGCTGGCTAGTTTGTTCATGTGTGCACTACTCGAAGATTTTACAATTAAGCAGTCTGCATTTGTTTTTACTGAGCTTTTGCTTAAATTATATAAATAAATGATAAGCAGCGAGTTTCCTTTTGTCCTGTTATTTAGCCTTTTACTGAAATTATTGACGGCCAGTTAGTTGTGAATTTCCTAAATTCCAACAATTAAAAAAATTATTAAAGAATCCACTGCTCTGACAACAAGCTCTTTCCGTCTCTATTTTTTTTAAAAAATTGATCAAACTTTAGTAACGGTTTTTGTAAACAATCATTATTTAAAATAACTCAATACACGCCCAATTTAAAGGTTTTTAAGTATCATTTCGGAACAATTTTAACTAAGTTTCATTTTAAGTTGTTTATCTAAGTCTTGTAAATAAACTTAGCATGTGCTGTAAATTTATAGTAAAAATCTAGTTTGCATATTTAAAGTATTTAAACGTTGGCAGCCAACCTCGAGAACCTTCGCCGCTCTTAACTTGGCCTGTAAGACTACTTTGATAATAAAGTGTGATTGCTTTTAAGGAACCCGCGTAAGTATCTAATATTCATACACTGTATAGACAGATAGCGCCAAGAGATGTAAGCTTTGATTGCGTTTAAGGTCAAAAACTGTACTATGAAGCTTTAGCCGGAATAAATGTAATGTTGAATTTACTGTTCAGCTCGCATCGTTTTTAATATCCACCTTTTATAGTCTCATAGTTTAATTACTTACATCTGGTCGCGGTTTAAAATTCAGTACATAACTTCGAAAAGATGTGAAGCCATATTTATTAGCGTTCTCGCCCCTCATTATATAAGTTTATAAAAAATTTTAATGGCTCCCGCTAGGATGTTTTTCATATAATTAAAATTTATGCAAAATGGAACTGTGGCGTTTCAAGCTTTTGAATCGCTTATAATATTTGCAACACGAATTCTTTACCGGTAATAACAACTTAGAAAACTGGGATGGGAATTAGGGGCGTAAACTCTTACTTGATCCTGCCAGAATTTAATTCCTTTTTGCCACTGATGAATGCATCACTTTATATTCTTGACTCTTCAAAAATATTAATAAATACGTGGTTTAAGTCCTTCATAGAGCTGACCCTAGTATATGCTAATAAAGTACACAATAAAGATATGGATAAATTTTAGTCTTCCCTCATTTGGTCCCTTTGTCCCTCGCGACATGTACGAAAAATTATTTTTACATGAGGATAAACTAGAGTTTAAAAGTACTTACACACAAGTGCTATCTTCTTCCGTTCTGTAATTATTAACAGTTTAATAATAGAGATATTCCTTTTGCTTACTCCTGTTATTTATAATATTATATTGCCCATACAATCCTTGATACAAAATTGTACAATCTTCATTGAAGTTAATTATCCATTCAGTTCCTTTCAGCTTTTTATTTAGGCTATATTAAAACAACTAACTGTGTTCTCATTGTAAATAAGAATAAAAATTAAATCTAACTTTTGCACTGCCGCACTGATTACAAAATCTAGATGAGCGGCTAGCGAGCTTTCGTGCCTTCTCTTTGCTTATAAATAACTCTCTTTCTCAACAAAGCTAAGGGTTTCGAAGTATATGAAACGCTTTTAAAAACGTAACTATCATGCTGTTATTTTATTAAATAGTTTACAAGGATCAAAGTTTACAATGGTTCTTAACATAGCCTTACATTAAACTATCACCTTACCGCGCCGAGACAGTTCTTTTATAGTAAAGTAACAGCATTCTTTCCTAGAAGCGTACCTGCTCTTCTGGTTATGGAATAGCTTTTCGGGTTTTAAAAAATATAACAAACAAATGAAATGAGGGTATTAGTTAATAAATACGAAACAAATACATATATAGTGGAAGACCTTGGATTTCTTGTTTACGTTCGGAACCTTAGGTTGGTATCGTTTACAGTAACTTATTAGAGTGATACGTGGATCATTCAAATTATTTTTTTCGGTATTAATACTAATTAAAGTCGCTCTAAATTCTGTTATTAAGTCACAATGCAGCTATTAGCTAAACTGGTTATACTTCGTAGCGTTGAATTTAAACTTTTCTTACGAACAGAACACTTCTACCGGACTGTGCATCTTTACTTTTTATTCTGCCTTACCAAATTTATCTCTTGACTAATAAATTTAGGTATACAATTTTTCACTTAAAATTTTGTCCCCAATAATTTTGAGTCAGTAGAGGTCTCTGATCTTAAATGATCAGATACATGGTTTTCTCTTACTCATGCTCGGAATCAAACTTTATCTACGTCTTCTACCTTATAAATAAATGTTAGTAAAGTATTTTATTCTTTCTAGTGAGCAGCTAATTTGGAGAACAGTTATTGGATGGACTGCACAATTTATGTTTTAAGGATACTCCAATCACACCAAATTCCTTTTGCAGGCCGGCATTTAGAAAGTGCGCTGACGAAGCTTGCCTTTAGAAAGCGCTGCCACGTACTTTTGAAAGCCTTTATTTCTGTTTGTTTCTGTGCTTTGATAACTTTAGTTGCTTTTTAGCTAAAACTATAAAACTATGGAGTGTTTTACTGAAAACTTGGATAATGAAGTGGGATTATCTTCAATTGAATCTGTAACTACAGAACTTTCTCATTGCATTTTGAACCCAAATAATCTGGATAACAATAAATGTACTGTTACCCCAGGTATAAATTTATATATATATGTACCACGTATTTTATTATGTTTTTAGTATGAAAAAAGTACTGATATAAAAATAGAGGATGCTTATCAACAGTTTCAAGATGCTTTTTTATCAGAAGAGAAGAATAAAAAAATTAACAATTTTGAGAAATCTTGGGAAACTGAAATTAAAGTTTTTACTAATTTTTTTTTTTTTGAATTATTATTAGTAGATCTTTATTATATCATATTAAATACATTTATTGATACTTTTAATGCTCATATTTTTTATTGGTATTGAAAAATTACTTTACAACGTTAGCTATTTATTTGTGTGGTTTACTTTGTGAATCTTGTTTTTGTGATTTTTCCAAGTTTTGATTATAGTTTAATTTATTTTATAATATATATTAAGGAATGCATTCAGTTGGTTAAAAAGATTAATGTGGAAAATTATTCTTCGCATAAAGAAGGTACTTTTTATTACGTAGCATAAAAAAAAAAAATTTAATTTATGCTTTTTTACTTTTTTTTATATTGTATTCTCCCTTAAATTTCTTGCTATCTACATTTTTGATAAGTATTTTTTTAAAGACTAAAAAAGTACTATTACATAAAGTTATTTATTAAAGAATGAAGTAGATTATTTAATAAAATTTAAAAATAAGTTATTACTTTATAATTTTTAACTTGGAATTATTATTATTTTATTTTTTTTATAAAAATGGTTAATTTTTAAATAATTTTTGGTTTAAACTTTTGTAATAGTACGAATTTATTAAATAAATACAATTAAATATAGTGCATAAAGCCGATTTATGTTTTTACCTCTTTCAGTATATTATAAACTTTAAAACATCTAAAATTTAACTTTTTTACAAATTTATTGTTAAATTATTGTTAAATATCTATATTTATAGAAGATTGCACTTCTGTACTTTTTCCACCATTGCAAAAAGTGTACTGTGTTATACCTCTCTTTGGTAAGTTTATAATACTTATAGAATTTTGCTGTCTCCATTTGAATAGCTTTAGTTAAAAGTAAAAAACTTGTGAAAACTTTTTATGTGCGTATTTTAGTCCATTAAGAAAGTTTTTATACGTTTTATATTGAAAATTATGTTTTTGGTGTAGATTTTTATAGCAATATTTTTTTCTTTTTGCTTTATTATCTGTTTTAATTGGATGTACTCTTTTTAAATTACAATTCTTTTTCTTTTGGTTGTGTTTTTATTTCTTCTTTTAGATATATACATTTTATTACATACAAAGACCATAAAAAATACACTAAAAAGTTGTGACATATTGTTATTATAGCTCTGCCCACACTTTTACAATATATAAGCAACTGAGCTCTTATTAGGGACTTTTTATTGTTGTATTCAACTCTCTGAAATATTTTGTTTAAAATACTGGAATTACAAACAGTATTATTTAGCGCGTCTTTCTTATCAACAGTTAGGACCGTTAGGAAATTGCAACATTACTCGGCTATACTCGCAAGTCCTTAGAAGGGTTACAGCTCTACTGAAATATCGAGTTGCTTCCCGTTTGTTATTTATTATTGAGCAACTGATGGTCGAAATAGCTTTTAATTTTTACTGAGATTTCAGTTTAAATTTAATCTGCAGCACTGCGGTTTCTTTACGTAATTAGAGATGCCATTTAGAGCAGTATCGTTTACTAAAAAGTCTTAAAGTAACAGTTAAGAGTTGGATAGTTAATATATTTAATAAATTAAATTTTGGTAAAAGGGATTTGCATCGGGGGAGAGGGACTGGCTTCTACTTTCCCGTTCTTATAGCTCTACTTGTAAGATGCTTAGATTACTACTGGAATTTTATCTAAGTTTCCACTTATACGGTGACTTAACAAAAAATGATTCGTAATATACCACTCTTAGCTCTGCAGCTAAGAAGGAAGTTTAAGAGCTCCTTTACAGCTTTACCCCTTTGTCCACTATTAGAAAGTGCGCTTTTCTCCTTTAGTTTTTTATTAACGCTACAAAGTTATCTTTAATTAACTTTACTTTTAAGTATTTATTCAACATAACTTAGGAACTGATATTAAATTGTTAGTATCCGTGGTCGCCATTATAAAATATACTTAAAAATACTTTGTTCTTTTTTAAGGTGCCTAACTTATCTTAATGTATATTAATCTTTTTATCAGTAGTTAATTATAAAGATGCTTCTCCATTTTTTATAAAAATAGTTTATTCTAGCTTTTTTGCAGAAGACTGTTATGGTAGTTGAAAAAAGTTTTTAGTAATAACTTAAACATAACCTCATGAACTTTAAACTAGTGCCTCATCTTAAAATAAATAGAATTTAATTATAAAATGACCTGTAAAAGTTAGTAATATAAAAGGGTAGAGATAAGCGATTATAAAAATGATAAAACGATTAAACATTAAATAAAAATGACTAAAGAGGGCAGAAACAGAGAGCGATAGCATATACAGGCACGTGGAGGGAGGAAGAAAAGCATTACAATGAGTTGCCGTGAAACGGGGATTCAATGGGAATCCTTTGACTGTTCCGTAAAATAATCTTTATTATGGCGTACGCAAATTCTACTGCTAATAATACGAGCTATATGTTATTTTTATAATTAAATTTCAGTGAAGTAGTTGGCATCGAAAAGTATATAGGTCCAAGAAGTTTTTGTTAGACTTATTTTATTTGTTAAAGTTATTGTTTTTTGGTATTAAAAGTTTTTTTAATTTTGTATATTAGAAATAATATACAAGTTAAAATCTTTTGCCGTTTATTAGAAATCATTAAAAACCAGTAAATATAAATATCTCATATATAATAAAGTTATCAAACCTTTTTTTTTATAGCGCCACCGCCCAGTATAGAAATTGTAGAGTTACTAGCAGAGTTAATACTACTGCTCGTTCTTCGGTTAACTGAATTGCAACGCATAATCGGTAAGCCCAGTACACTCACAGAAATTATACATATATACTCTTATATCATAGACTTTTAATACATTATTTAAAAGTTCCTGGAATTACTTTGTCTCTTGGAAGTAACTTTATTTTTTTGGAGTATATAGAAAAAGTTGAAAATTTTGTGGAGTTGATCTTGCCTTTTTATGGTTTCTGTTAAAAAAAGATATTGTTTGTGTTTAACTAAAATACTTAATTAAAGCGACACATTTTTCTTGTGAAGATGGCGTAATTTTTTCGGAAAAAAAAAGGATGATAACTGAAAAAGTTTTAAGAATTCGAGAGAACCTAAAGGTTCGTATTATATAAATTTATTACAGTAGAATTTTTAGAAAAAGTTTTTAAATATTATTTGAATGACTTTATGTGCAATTTATATGAATTTACAGAATTTCTTTAGACGACATTTTAACTCACTCCAAGAGTTTAAAGAGAACTTTAAAAGGCCAATCACCGAGTTGTCTCGAGTAATATAAATTGCCTGTCGAAAACTTCTTATACTTATTATATTATAAGAAAAATCTTGTTGGGGAATTGGACAATTTCATCGCGTTACATGCTGAAAGTAAGGAGTATTTGAATCGTAAAAACGAAATCAAAACTTTGGTAGCGATTTTTAATAAATTATTAATATTAGTATATAAATCTGTTTACGTTGATAATATTATTACGTAGCTCACTGAAGCGCTTCAAAAACTTTATCCCAAAGCCGAACTAAAGATGTTCGGCTCTTCAGTGTCGGGTCTCGGATTTTCTCAGTCCGACTGCGACTTTTGCTTATCACTTCCCCGGTATTGTTAATTAATATATACTTCGTTACCTATATTATATTGTTGTGAACTTAGGGAATATTTTGAACAGTATAAGAAATCTCAAAACTTTGTGGAACCGCCAGGTTATCGCAAGGTCAAGGACGATCCCTATTTACAGTTAAATGACTACATGGAAAGCAAAAGCAGCGAGAAAATTGAAAATGACCAGGCTGTCAACAGGACGAACGCGGAAAAGAAGGTAATTTATACGGTCAACAGCTAAATATTTTTTATTACGCCAAACCTTTATATCGTAGAGTTTAGGAATTAGTAATAATAGGAGTAAAAAAAGAGAAGAGCAATTATTTTCGGCTAAAGTTATTACTGATATCGCCGAACGCCTCCAGGAAGAAACTGCCTTTTCTCCTTTTGAGCTTGTGAAGTTTTTCTCTGCAAGTTGTTGTCCGCTCTGCTTTACTTTGCTACAAAAACTTAACAGGATGAAGTTATTATTTCTGCGCGCGTTCCCATAGTCAAGCTGAGGCATAGAGAGTACCGCGTGTCCTGTGACGTCTGTGTGAACAATGAAGTTGCCCTCGTAAACTCTCAACTGTTGAAGGCGTACGCGGAAATAGACGCGCGCTTTAAGACTTTGGCGTTGGCCATCAAGTTTTGGGCTAAAAAAAGGTTGGACTAGCGTTCTTCGTTTATATCACACATATATTACTTAATACATTTTAAAAAATTGTGGAGCTTCGATCATAGCAATGTAAGAGTATAAACTAGCAATAGTTTATCATAGAAAAATTTACATGATAAGATATAAAAGCAGAAAGCTAAGTCCAGCGAGTTCAAAGTCACTATAGCAACAAAGTTGAATATAGCTTGTCGTGAGCTGGGAGGCTATGGAGTTGTTGTTCTGATAAAAATAATTGTTATTCACAACTTTTCTATTATGCACAAGTAATACACTCTGAAACTCCCATGCTCTAGAGGGATAAACGACGCATCCAATGGGACACTGAGCTCCTATGCGCTTGTTATAATGCTGATTTACTTCTTGCAACGAACTTGCCCCCCTGTCCTTCCTTGCTTGCAGACTATTTTTCCTGGAGGTACGGAATCATAGCAGGATTGAGGATGACAAATATCAATAAGCTGTAGGGAGGGAGCAGTTTTGCAGGAGTGTGAAAAGAGCAAGAAGAGCTCTTCGTGATAAAAATGAGGAATGCGTCGGCTCTCTGTTCCATCAGTTCTTTATATTCTACTCTACTAAGTTTGACTATAAACGGAGGTATACGCCACGAAGCTAATGCCTGTTAGGATTACTGCTACTTCGTTACTTCTTCGTTCTGCAGCGTCGTAAACATTCGGAATAATCAAGAACTTCTTAAAAAACACTACAAGCCGCACTCCTCCATCAAAAGTTGGCGCCTTTCCATCCAAGATCCCTTGGAACTCGCACATGACTTGGGCTCTGTTATCTTCAGCCCTCGGGGGCAAACAAGAATAATCAATGAGTTTTCACGTGCCTCGAAAATAATCGCGTCTTCTTCCTTTCAGGAGTTATGCAGTGAGGCTGAGGCTGCCACGATCAAACCGGCATGCAGTTAGATAGATTTGCAATAATGCTTTTGGTGTGTATTATTAATGCCCCGCATAGAGCGGTGCTTTTCCGAAATGCATTCCACCGATGACTGTTTTCGTTTACCTCCTGCTTGTTACCAATGCGGCTCATTTACTCACTTGGCTAAGGGGTGCCCAAAAACATCCAAAAGTTTGTCTTATAACTTATTGTCATTAATCCTTAAAACTTCTTACTTTATACAGCTGGTACGAAACTTAAGCGCGGCGAGAATAGCACTCGACGACCCCAAATGACCGACAGCAGAGCTTACCGCAAGCAAACTACTAATACTAGTCGTTACGTGGATACTAATGTCAGCAAGTACAATAAGGAGTGGTTCAGCTACAGGCAAGTCAAAGAGCGTTACATTAATCCGCATAGAATTCGCAGTCGCTCGCCACCCCGGCTCGTCATGCCTCTGAACTGGACCCTATCCCCCTTTTCTGGGGTCCAAGTCAATGAGAAGTGGCCTCAAAAGGCCCCTGGAAACATTTCAACCAGTAAAATGACCAGCAAAATAGCATTGGCGGAGGCAATTATATGCGAGGCTAATATAAATCAGGTTGACGAATAAATTTTGTTTATTAAGAATTGTATTTACTGAAGGAAAGGTTCTCGATGTTCCCCGTACCGATGTTCAATCGACTATGAATCCCCCTAATGAAAATTGACGATAAGTGTAACTTGGTAAACTTTAAAAACCTTCATAGGCTGGTCTTCGCCAGAAAATCGGAGTTAATAAAACTTTTTAGTAACTATATCTAATCTATATAGTAATAAATGTATATATCACATTATTTACGTTATTATATAAAAATAGCTAGAACAGGAAATACACCACAAATATAAATACCTATTGAATATGGAACAAGTAAATGATGAACTAAAGAAAATAAGTTGCAACTAGTGTAATAAAAGGGATTCTCAAAGAGTAAAGAGACATACTTCTTAAGCAAAAACTTCAATAGCCACTGTTAAATACAGATCCTTAATAAAAAAAGTTCTAAAAAATAAGGCAGCAAAGAATTGTTCTGATTGTAACTCTACAATTACGGAAAGCAAAGAGCTTTAAGTTTATAAATTTTTTAAAATGAAATAAACTTAAAAAACAACCAATAAATGATCTTAGTTGCCAGTTCCAATCACAAAAATTAAATTAAATATAAAAACTATTCATTTAAACTGTGCGCTTGCCTGCAAGTTTTTTTTACCAACTAAAAGCGTATAAAGATAACCAAAGTATCAATGTGTATAGATAAAACACACAATAGGCAGACAACCTAACGACGAAACTTCTTCGCTGCTCCCCTCCGAAAAGGTAGAATCTTTAATATAAAGTTATACTACCAATTAAATGCATATACTAAACTTTTACAGTAAATATTATGATACTTCCTTATAAACTAGTTAAATAATAGTAATTAGGTATATCACTATTTTTTTATAAGTAATACAGAATATTAACATTAAAGAATATATGGAACGTTAGAAAATAAACTCATATAGTATATAGGTGTAAAACTTATGTAACCTCCACAAGAATGAATAACAGAATTATCTAAACTTTCGTCGCTTTCATCTTTATTCTTTTTTAATTTCTAAAAGTTCATGTTTCCTTTATAATATACGTAAAAATGCATTATAACTATAACCTTTTTTTTTTCTGGCTCACAGATGCAGCATATTTTTAAGTTTAGAATTTGACTAGATGGGCCGTCACAACACTCATGAAAAAAACATTTACAAACTTTACACTTGTATAATTCTCCATCTTTCTCTGAACAAACTTGGCAACTATCACGAGCTAGACATAATTTAGTTATCAACTGTTAGAAAACTGTTTTCTCAGTTTTTTTAAAAAAGATCCTAAAAATGTAATCGAAGAAACTTTACATCTATTAAAAGTCTAATAATGATATAGATAAGTTTAACTTATAACAGAAAATCCTGAGGACAGACACGATATTATGCCAATAATAATAAAGCAATAAGTTACTTTTCGAGTCAATAGTGGGACTGTGCTCAATTATAACAGGAAAAGCAGTAGAATAGTCTTTAGGCTTCTTAGCCGAGAACGACTTTTTAAAAGTCAAGCTTTTATTTTTTTTATTCTCCTGAAGAGAATTGATAAATAAGGATAGCTTTAACAGGAAAGAAATTAAACCTCAATATAACGAAGAAACAGTGTTTCATGAAAATCAAATTGAAGCATCCTGTGAAGCATTATTTCGGTAAAAGTTCCCTCAAAGTTAATAGATAAGAGTAGAGGCGAATTTTAAATAGCCTCTAATTTAGATAAACAAGACTTTTACGTTTAAAATTCAAAGTAATAAGTTATAAGAATGCCATATTCTATCTACAAAATTATCCCAAAGAAGATAATAAATTTAGTTTTTAATTCCAAATAACTATATTTAAGAGTGTTTAGATAAAATTAGTTTTTACTTTAAAGTCACAACCAATATTCCAAAGGGAACAACGGCGGGCTCCAGGTGATAAGAATTTATGACTTTTATTTTTTTTCTTCTTAGGTTTCTTAGCTTTCGAAAATTTTGAGTTATCTGATATTATCCCGGTGGGCGACTCCTCAAAATATCCCTTCTTGTTTAAATCCTTACGACCAAGTTTCTCGAGATCCTCAAATTTTTTATTATCGTCTCTCTTACATGATGTGTCCTCTTCTTCGCTAAAAATAAGTTTTCTCTTTTTATTAGAAACACTTAAGGTCGAAGGATAGCCATCCGGGCTACTTTTTTCAGCATTTTTAACAGAAGAGGTCCTCTTAATGTCTTTTTTAGCTTTCTTGGAAGACTTTTCATTTTTCTTAGAATTTTTAAAAAGTTTTACAATCTCAGAATTATTGCCTAATATATGTATAACATAAACTTTAAAAAGAAAAAAAATACTAAAGATAATATATTAAAGAAGAACACCCTGTCTATTAATATTCATTCTACGACGAAAGTCAGTATGGTACCAGGTGGGTTAAGTACAAACTAAACTGATCGAAAGACCCTAACAAAGGCGGCTACATAGCGGGTGGGAACACAAATTTTTTTAGCCAATGTAAACGGTTTTAAAAAAAAAGAAAGCAACTTAACTGAATTTTATTGAAAACCGAAAGTTTACTTAAAAAATTACAACTTCTTCTAGAGCTGTATAAAGGATTCCAGAAAAAATAGTGGACAGCACCTGTTCTCCTACTTTCCAAACCCATAAAGTAGTTCTCCGTGCTTTAAACGTATAATACTCTTCTTAGGTTAACAAAATTGTTCTTACAATAACACCTCCTTTTAAAAGATCTTAGTTGACACTGACGTGTATATATATTCATTTTACCTTTCCTCCATACTTTAAATAACTAAGAACAAGAAAAAATGTAACTAATTATTGAGAAAGCGTTTTTAGTTTTTAAATTCGTAACCATCAAAGGTTTGGATACTGTCCGCCGTGCTTATTTTATAATTTTATTTCATTTCATATTTAGTATGATTTAAATTTTAACACCATTAGCTATTTATTACAGCTTTTAGCTTCGAGTAAAATTAAAACTTTTTATAAGCACTGTATAAGGTATTTAGTTTAGTATTTTAATATTAAAATATATAAAAAAAATTTAACATAATTTTGGAAGCGGATAAAAAGAAAGGTCAGCTTTATTTTTATGAAATTTAAAATTTTTTACTTTAGAGAACCGGAGGGTAAAGCTACTTACTGGTAATTTTATTTAACGTGAACGGGTGAATCAAGAGTACCGTATTCAATGTAGAAGTATCTAGCTTTTATGGTCAAAATAAAAAGGCTTAAGTATTTAAATGTGAAAGAACAATTACAGTTTATATAAAAGGCCCTTGTTAGAATGGCTTTTGGTTTCTACTGTTGGTAAAACGAAACATTTTAATAAATGTTAAGACATCTAATTTAAAAGTGAAAAAGGTAGTGTCTGGCTACAATTCTGCAAATCTCGAATTACTTATCTTTCTGATCAACCTATGTTATAAAATTGTTAATTTTCTAGCTCTTAACCTTTACTTGCCTGAAATAATTTAAGTTAACACCTAGAAGAGGTTAGCGTAAGGCCGTCTAATGAATTACAGCCCGTACTTTGGGGATCATATACTTTGTCGGTTTTGCCGACAATGTGCAAAATAGGTATACGCCTAAGCATTTTTTGATACCTTACTAGATGCTACCAGAAACATACAGTAAATGTATCTAATAAGTTGATACTAACTTAATTTTTGACTTAAAATTGCGTTTTTATAACGTTTTAAATAGTTTGTTTATTTTTTGCAGCTAAATTAGTTATGCCCAGTACGCAATACGTGCAGCTATTAATGCTCCATAATTTTGGTGGCAGTAACAACGGGTTATCTGTAATTTTATATTAGTGTATCGATGTTGGTCAATCCCTTTACAACAAATTACGTAATCAAAAGTACCGCCTGTCGTCTTTAAAAATTATCTTTGCTCTTTCTAGATTCATTTGGTTGTAACAAGGCGCTTCAAACGCTTGCTTTATTCCTATAAAATTTTTGCGTAAGCTGCCTTTAAAACGTATTCTCTAATTAAAATTTTTCTTCGACCGAATGTAACTAAAATGGAAAAGGTCAGAAAATCATTCCCATGTTTGTAAAATTAATTTCTTTTTTACCAGAATAATTTTTATAATTTTACCTTGTTTAATTGGTATCAAAATAAAAAATGGGTTCAAGTTATTGCTTTTGTGTTCGCAAAATTAAATTTCCCGCGCTGATTTTTTGTTAAATTACTGGTTACTAATTGGTTTATGAACGGATCATTTTTCCTTCGAAAAATTTGTTGTTTCTCCTTTGTTTTTTTGTAATATTTGGTATTTTCGGTTGTTTTTCGCATATGTTTATTAGAATCTATTGGTCGCCTTTTTGTTGTATAAATTTATTAGTATTTTTATTATCTATTTTTTGCTCTACGGTGTGGTTTTGTTAACTATTTGATGTAATATATTATTTAAGCTATTTTGTGTATCATTTTTGTGATTGTTGTTAGTTATTTCTTGTTAAAATGAAGTATGCGTTACTTATAAGGCTAGTTTGTCCGCAGAAAGCTAGCTTTCCAGTAACTTGTTTTATCCAAAACATCTGCTTTAGGAAGAAAGCGCATGTGAAGAGTTAAAATAAAACATTCAAAGCCAAGATCTTTGAAATCCGCATTTAGTTAAAAACGAAGTATAAGCGTAGAATATAAACCTCTCATGACATTTTTCTACATTACATCCTTTCTAGGTAAAACACATTTAAATAATTCGATGGGCATTGCCCATATTATTTTTTATTGTAATTCGCCACGAGTGAAACGAATTTACATTTAAGTTCTATCGACATTACTAATTAGATTTTAAAAGTTTAGTATGAACAAAACTTGGAAGTCTTAGAGATTTTGAAGGTATATATATACTCCTTGGATATGCAACTAGAAGACATAGTAATTAAATAAAGTACCTCAAACCCAGTGAAAGGACGTGAAAACTATTCAACATTAAGCAAGAGTACAAAGACTTATTTTTTACTTAAAATTATTATAAGGGTTAGCAGATATATTGAGACGGTTGTTGAGGAGTACGAGTTCCCTTACTGACGGTTATATATTTTAAAAAGAGTCAGCAGAGAGATATGATTTTCGTTTAAAGTCACGTTACAAATTTTTTATAGCCAAAAACACTATTTGGATATCAGCAATTAAAAGTTAGAGTATATAATACTTAGTAATTATGATGAGATATGTGTTCATAGTGAAGTTCATAATTATAATAGAGATATAACAAACGAGGAAGTAGTGGATGGTAATTTTTGAATAACTCTCTTGAAGCAGACTCGGGTTAGAACCTTCTTCAGAGTGAATGTGTGGTTAAACTTGTGTTGAGTAATCTTTAATAGATTAAGATGAAGCCAGATTAGTTTTCGAATGTAGATTTAGTGTAATTACTCTTGTATAATTTGAATGAAAGGAACTGAGTCGTAAAATTGGGTGAACTAACAGTTTAGTAAAGCCGCGAACGAACCTGGATTATTTAATTTTGACGTTAAAACAGGTGACGAACACTAACCTAAGAGTTAAAAAAAAAAAAGAAAATTCGTCGTTCTACTTTGAGTGTGTACAAGCAGTTATACTCCTAAGAAAAAGTAATGGTTGGAAGAATTTATTAATAGAGCTAGAAGGGCGATAAACTCGAAACCTAAAAGGTAAAAAACTAAAAGAGAATATATCTCATGCTTGGTATACATATATCATCTAAGCTAAACTAAGGTTGCTGCCTCTTAAGAGCTGATATATAAAAGGAAAAGTTTGATTGAAATTGAAACCACGAAGAAGCTTTACATCAAAGAGGCAACGTACTAAGATAACTTTTTTCTTACAGGATACCAAAGGGTTGGGGCGTTAAAAAGTAAAAAGCAAGGAAATGGAATACTTAATAGTAAAATTTATTGGTTCAAAAGTGATACTATCTAAGGTGGTAACGCAAGTTATTATATCAATTTAAAAAGTCCCGAAAAAAAAATTGTGTAGCGTTGCCTAAAAGAACAAGTGTTTATTAAAGCCCACTAAAAAAAAGATGTACTGGGTGCCGCTCAGTCAATTAAAAGTTTATGCTTATGCTTATAAGCAGTAATGCAATTTACTGTTTGCGTGGCGTTGCTTTTAGTTAGTTTAAATATGCGTGTAAACATCTTCACTCACCCCAAGCGGTTATGAAAGCAAAGCAATTCAACAAGCCTATTTCCTCTCTTACTTAACACCCTAGTTCTAGGCGCTACAGTTTAACCTTGACTACGCCCACGGTTAGCTAGAATTAACAAAAGTAACAAAAGAAAAATTTTTAGAAGTAAAAGCGATTGTCCTTACAATTTTAACTCGTTAACAACGCCAAATAACTCTATTATGAGGAGAAAATCGACATTATAGTTTATATCGTGCCTTCACAATGTTGAAAGAATAAGGGTACATTGTAAAGTGCTACTTACAAACTGTGAACGCGTTATTTCATATTAAAAGTTTGATACACATCACAGCTTTGTGAACGCATACCTTTATAGTGCTAGTTGTTGAATGCGAAAAAAAGCATATATTAATATGCTTATAGAGTTGAAGTTATGAGACTATAATTGTTAAAAAAAGATTAGATAAATTAAGTTGGCAATCTACATGGCAGCAAGAGTTTAAATTAGTACAGAAGAGGTTAAAACTTTAAAGAGTATGTTTAATTATAAAATAAAGGAAACTCTTAAAGCCATTATATTATTAACAGTGCGATTGTTACCAAACGGCTTTTTCAAACTATTACGAAGCAAGGTCCCAACAATAAGTAATAGGCTCCAAGAACACAATAAATCTTCGCTTAACTTAACAAAAGAAAGGTTTATCCTAAAAAAATGCTTTATAAACAAGAATTCAAATGGAACAAGGATAATTTAATGTAAAACTATAACGAAAGTTGTTAGAGAACCAGAACTAAAACTGATCTTAAAATGAAATAAACTAGACTAAAATAGCAGAACTTCCAATAAAAATTAAAAGCAAAACTTGAAGCTTGACAAAAGCGACAAGCGTTTAATTTAAGAGAAAATAACAGAATTTGAGTTTTATATTTATTAATAAAAAACAACAATAAGAAAGCTTTTACCAAATTTGGAAATGAAAATGTAGGCAGATTTATGATTAATTTTTCGTTTTTAATTGAAAGAATTCCCACCACGCCGGAAAGTGGAGAGTTATCTTGAGGGGGCAGGCATTCATTATTGAGTCATAGAGACCTGACACCTTACTAAATAACTTTGATTTTAACTTCAATTTAAGAGCGTTACCCTTACATTAATCCAAATTTAGTAAAAACTAATTTTCGGGGAGTGGGGGCCTCTAATAAGTTAGATACGTAAAGCCATTAACACCTGTATTGAGAGTTGTCGTGGTAGCTCAGCGCTCAAGAGTATTGGCTGGAAAACTCAAGGCCGTAGGTCCAATTCCACTCACGCGATTTACAATTTCGGCTTCGATGGTTGCGCTAATAACCTCGCTCTCCTAAATTTTGGTAGAACCAAACTAGAAGGTTATACCAGTAAAAGGCTTATCTAATTATAATTAAAGATGTTAAAGGGACCATTAAGCGGTAAAATGGTAAAGACCATTCTTTCTATTACTTGCATACTTTTATAAATTAAGAGCAGAAATCAAAAGATTTTTAAATGGTAGTCATTATATTATCCATTCATCTTAAGCAAGCCAAAAAACAATTATTAATTAGAGTGGGGAGCTCCATAAAAATAGCAGTTTTGGGGTTGGTGAAAGTTATAGCAAAAGCGATAATTAACCTGTGCAAATTTATTGACATTTTTATCTAAAATCAATTCAATTAAGTCCCTCCCTAATTTTCGAGGTTTCCTAAATAATAATAACGAACTTAGTGACACTTAACACCACTAGAATTTTTGAAGTAGTAACTATAAGAGATACACAAAGACCATGAATTACGCCATTAGTTTCAAGTGGTAAACCGCCGTGTAACTTATCTCATACGCATCTCCTTGTTTTAACAGATATTTCTTCAGTTCGTACTATTACTTTTAATGTTTCAACTACCCTTAAAACTTTCTTCCTTTTTTATTAATAAAAAGACAATTACTTTAGTGAAATTTCAACGCTCATGTAAGGATGTTATATGTCATTTAATTCTCTGTTATTAGTTTTTCTAATAGTTTACGTAACAATGGAGCCCTTTCAAGATTCTTTCAGGTGGAAATATGGCTTGCAACCTCTGGAATACGATGATGCTGGTCTAATAATTGTGCCATTTATAAATTTATAATTAATGTTTCCATATATTTTGCAATATGACGTTTTTCAGGTAAAGTTGTTAGTGCTTACTGCAAGTTTTGTAGAAGTGCTACTCTGACAGGTGCCTCTTTTTCACTAAAGTTGTTGTAAATATTTTTATACCTCTACTTAGATTCTTCAGTTCATTCATCTGATAAGGACGAACAGGTACCTTTCATAAAGTATTTCAAAAGTTTCTTTTTTAAGTTTATTTATATAAAATAACAGGGGACTCCCTTAAAAAAAAGGTCATTCAATTTTAAATAATTTTTTCCTTCCTATATAAATCTCTCTTTGAAGAAGTCAAGTGGTTGTGACAGTTTTTGAAAACTTTCAAGACAATAATATCGTTTCACACTTGGAGTCGGCCCATCACACTATCTGGAAAAGTTTCAAGCAAAAATCGGAAAATGAAAAAAAGAATTTTTTTTCAGGTTATTTATATTTTACTCTCTGTTATTTATAAGGACATATACTTTTAACTACCTTTTTAACTCTTAATTTTTATACTTTAGTTTATTCAAGTATATTATCTTATATAAATAGATCATTTAGTTATTACGTTAATTTTTACTAGTGTGCCAACCTTTTTGTTTATTTTTTCGTCAGATTACTTTTTTGATTTCAATTTTTTGTGAGATTTTATATCGTATAATAAAAAATAAATTTATAAAATTTAATTTTATTACAATAGAAAAAGACCTCTCTGGACCTAGCCGCTGTCGTACTGAAAGTGATTCCATGGGAGACATAGAGATTGATACTGCGAACTATTGGGGTGCGCAGACTCAGCGTTCGTTATATTTTTTTAATATTGGAAACGACCATTTTCCCAGAGGTACTAACAACGCAGTGCTTCTTTCTCTTTACAATATATAGATATATATAGTAGTGCTTGTTGTATTTTTACTTTCGAGTTATATATTATTAATTTTTTTTACGTTTGCTCAGTAATGATAAGAGCTTTGGGCATATTAAAAAAGGCTGCCGCGCTCACCAACAAGCGTGAGCATATTTTATAATACTTTGCACGCTTACATTATTATACTTGATATAAAAGAACTCGGGCTTCTTACTTCAGAAAAGGCCCATCTCATCTGCACTGCGGCGGATGAAGTAATTGAAGGTTTACTTACATAAATCAATTTTTTTTTTACCTTCTTCTTTATGTAAGATTCACATTCTTTTATTTATGTAAAAGTTGTTCGGCATTTATATTATAATTAAAATATATATTATAAGGAAGGTGATATATATTTGTAGTTATATATAATTTTAAAAAAACCCCCTTTTCATATATTTCGCTTATTTAAATGCTATTAATCACACTTTATATAATATAAAGGATTTCATAATTGTTATTTTTTGTATTTAAATATTTTTAATCAATTTGGTTGATCTTTTACTTTCTGGTTATATATATATCGCAATTATTTGTATATCTTCCATACAGGAAAACTGGATGCACATTTTCCTTTGCACGTTTGGCAAACAGGAAGTGGCACTCAAACAAACATGAACGCGAACGAAGTATTTTTTCGTTTTTTATCGCTTCATTATATTGCCTACAAGTACTGTAGTGTATACACCCTTTGGGTTATTTCGTAGATTTATAAGAAATGGTAAACCGCCCTTTAAAACTTTTTCATTGTATTTATTTTTGTTTACTTTCTTATAATATCTTGAAGGTAATAGCAAACCGGGCCATCGAGCTTAGCGGCGGAAAGGTCGGCTCAAAGACTCCAATTCACCCTAACGACGACGGTTAACTTTATCATTGGCTGTTACCTTAATAGAGCATATATAGTTGTATACTGAGCCCCCTCTTTATCCAATCGGCTTTAGTTATCAACACGCGCTAATGTTTTGATTCGTGTAGTTAACCGCGGGCAATCGTCCAACGACACGTTTCCGACGGCCATGCATATTGCTGCTGCCGAAGTGACTGTTTACCGCGTTCTGCCAAACGTACGTACATACAAGATATAGGCTTTATTTGGCCTGAGTTGTTGTACTTCTTTGTACTTTTGCTTTCAGGTAAAGTCCCTCAGAAACGCCCTCGAAGCAAAGTCTGCCGAGTTCAAAGGTATTATCAAGTGCGGAAGGACGCACATGATGGTATGAAGATGTGCTACTGGTAAATAAACTTGTACTAAGGCGTATACTCCGTGGCTACAGGATGCTGTTCCTTTGTCGCTCGAGCAGGAATTCGGCGGGTACTTGTATGGCTGTTTTATTATTGTGCAATTCTTATAAATTATGTAGTTACGTTGCTATGCTTGATATCGGAATTCAACAGCTGGAAACATCACTAAATTTTGTAATAATATATTATCTTTATTAAAACCGTGATTGTCGTGATTGGCTCTCTTTAAATATCATTTTACCAATGGATATGCGCTGATTATTTTTTTATAAGGTTTACCAATTGGCGCTTGGAGGGACTGCGGTGGGGACAGGCCTGAACACTCATAAAGACTATGCAACGGTTTGCTTTTCACACGCTTGTTTTGCTTATTATTATATTAGTGGTAAACCAATGAACTTTTGTGCAAGCACCAATATAATATATAATAAACCTAAAAGTTTCATTAAAAGATCAGCGCTCAATTCATAAGCAAATTGACGGGGCTCCCCTTTGTGACTGCTCCCAACAAATTTCAAGTTTGTTGCATATAAACTATTTTTCTCTGAATATTTAGCCGACCGACACTGTTATTAAAGACAAGTTCACTATTATAGGCGTTGAGCGGGCACGAGCCATTGGTTGGTCTTCATGCGTCGTTCCGGTGCATTGCGTCTTCCCTTCATAAAATCGGTATTGTTTATTCTTTTCATTATTTAGTACGCATATTGTTGGCTTAATCTTTCAATTAGCCAATGATATCAGGTTAATGGGGAGCGGCCCACGATGTGGTATTCACTATATTTTTGCTTATAATACTTGACTTATTTATTGTAAAGGAATAAGTGAACTTGTGTTGCCTGCGAACGAGCCTGGTAGTTCTATAATGCCCGGAAAAGTCAATCCGACTCAGTGCGAAGCGCTCACAATGGTTGCCGCTCAGATCGCAGGTTTATCGCTTGATCCATTTACTGAGTGCCCACAACGTTGCTCAACATTTGACCTTTAAGCAAGCATGTGCGAGACTATACTAATGTTTAAAGCTTTTATCCATTGTTAGTGTTTTATTTTATTATTGTGCAAGTCTATAAGTTATTTTAATGAAGTTGGCTACTACTATATATCAACTTTTAAGAAAACTTAAGAGAAAAGGTTACTCGGTGCATTGGTATAGGCTTCCTTCCTGCACAGACTTGTCTCTATAATGAACTTTATATTTCGTAATTGTAAAGATATTTGTGCTATAAAGTGGTTTCATTAATTATATAGAAGTTGGATATCTGCGATGGTTGTAAGCATGTGATTGTTTGACTCTTCTCAAAACTATGATGTTTCTTTGTGCAGGAAACGACGTTGCTGTTGGCTTTGGGGCCATGTGCGGTCATTTCGAGCTCAATGTTTACAAGCCGCTCATCATTCACAACATCTTGCAGAGTGCGACTTTACTTGCTGATAGTACTCGCAATTTTGAACGCCACTGCGTGAAAGGTTGTGAGTTGTTATTTTATATTACCTAAAAAATCCTTAAAAATTATCCTCTTTAGGAATTCGTGCGAATAAAGAAATGATACAAAAGCATCTCTCCAATTCATTGATGCTGGTAACTGCCCTCAACCCGCACATTGGCTACGACAATGCCGCAAAAATAGCTAAACTGGCTAACTCAAAGGTTATATCATTATTATTACTATATTTTCCAAATTAATTTTTGCGGATTTTTCTTATGTACCTTATATTATGAAGCTTCAGCTTTATTGCTAGTGATTTATAGAGACTGCTATAACAATGCTAATTTTCGATCAATAACTATTTGATTACACTGCGCACTAAAGGGAATTTCTCTCCGCGAGGCCGCCGTCTTGAGCGACTTATTAACTGGAGAGCAGTTCGACGAGCTCGTCAAACCAGAAAACATGATTTAAAACATGACTTGCCCTTAAACTTTCTTTGCATTTTTATATAAATAAAATATTATCATCAGTGCGCTCTGCTCTTTCCAGAATATTATAACGACTTTATCGAAGGAGACCGATTGCATACTGTTTGTGTAATCGCAAATTGTAGTAGAGAAAAGAAAGATAGGCATGAACAAAAAGTTGCAGGATGTGTAACAAAGTTAGAGCGTTTGTTTGATCGTAATGACTTTTTATTATCATTACGATTCCGACACTTTCCACATGCGAACAACATTACCCGTTAGTAAAGTAAAGAAGAAAGTGAGCAGTACGGAAGTCAGGGAAACGACGTTGTACGGCATTGAAAAGTCCGGCGCTGGAATGAGCACCACAAGGTTTGACGAGTACATCACAACAGCCCTTCAGAGTCGCAGTAAGCATATTACAGCCAACTTATTACGACAACTACTCGTACACAAATTTTAGCGACCAAATAAAAACATAGAGAACCTTTTGTTAGTAACTTGGAAGAATTCTGCAGGAAGACCCCGGATTATTAAAGCCGCCGGACCCATATGGAATCCTTATAAATCATAAAATATTAAGAAATCTAACGGAAGAATCCATTTTTGCGTAAGTATTCTAATAAAACAGAGCAGTGCAGTAGAGTACCTCTGTGAGGGTCGTAAGGATATTCCAAGTACCTCAAAAACTTTGTATACATGTCGAATGAGATGGTAACTTCGCTGGCAGAAGGCAGTACACAGACCTGAAATATACAGAAAACTCTGAATGTTAATTTTATAAATCCTTATAAATAAATTAGTTAGCCTATAACCAGTTCAAGCAAAGCTGATCTATTGCGATCGATAGAAGGAATATAGTTCACAAACTGAAGAATATTTTCTCGATTTCCTTGGAAAGTATAAAAAAGAGATACGGTTTCTACTGAATAGTCATAATCACAAAATAATTTCATAAAACCAGCTTTGGAAGTCACTGCCAAGGAGTGCAGAAAAGGCTGCATTTGCCAGGGAAGCGTTTCTAGATAAGTAACCGATATATTTCCCTTCATGTTGTTTCGTAGGTGCACTAATATTCCTAAAGGTTATCAAAGTTTATATTTATTTATTTATTTTTGCGTAAAATATAGATGTAAAAGCTGACGAGTTTTAATATATAAAAACCATATGACCTCTCTTTTGTTTTCCCGAGCCAGTTAGACGTCGTTCCATTTCCACAGGAAACTTACTATCCCAAAGCCAATACTTTCGTTCTTTTTCTTTTTCTTTTTCTTTCTGTAAAAAAGTGTTGTTCTCGTCCATCAGTAGTCCATCTTTAACTTCTTGAATTGTTTTAGTTATAGCAAATATTCCGCTTCCATCCGGATCGAACGATACATAACTTTGCTCAGCCAGAGCACAGGAGTCCAGCTGAGAAAAAGACTAAAGACAAACAATAATACCTTTTCAGTGACGATACATCATTTCATAATAATAAAAGTATACAAAACAAGAAAGAACCATAATAATACGTTCTTTTTAATGAATAATAAACAATATACATTTTTGAACAAGAAATGCAACAAAGAATTTCCCAACGAGAGCGGCTCTCTTTCCGTTACGTATGAAACAGTAACAACCAATTCACCGCTCCGCACGTCACAAAGAGACTTTTCATATGGACAATAGCGCTTCCAAAATAGCGATAACGAAGTGTACTTGGCAGAAAATAGTTTTGAGGGGTCTATGAGGGAAGAAAGTCCTTGCGCCTATTGAAAAATAAGAGTTAGCCAAAGTTTATCAATAACTTTTAATATATTTTTTTACATCAACAAAAAAGTTTTCACTCTCGTAAAAGAAATTATGTTAGAGTTGTAAAGTTATCAAGTATATGTAACTAATAATCGATGGCTTTCACGAAAATGTATTACAAAATGGTAGCGAAAGTCATACAATCCGCAATGTTTTCAAAATGTGAAGTTATAATTTGTTTTATTAATGCGCCACTGCTGCCCAGTCCCTTAAGCGTGTACCGCTACCCCAAACACGTGTGTGCGCTTCGATTAAATATACCAGATGACTCCGTGATATACTAGTTTCTGAGCGGCTGTTCTAACAAATGAAGAAAATTTTGTGGTGACTTTTGTGAAGCCTGCAGTTAAATCTCCCCATGCCCAACTTATTTACTATTATATATCAATTTTTTTCCGGCTATAATAAAAATAATTCACTGCTCTTGTAACCAAAAGTGACGCTATTCATAGTTAAAAGATTACTAAATTGTATAAAACTAAATCTATAGAAGAATGCAATAAAGAAGTGAAAGATACAAATTAAAAATAATGAAAAGTCTACAAGTAATTTTAGGTAACCGTGTTTTACTCCAAAAGTAGCAATTTTTTATTATATATATTACTTGGTATTGTGTTTCTTTATATATAAATAATATTTGATTTCAATTAAATGTTTATAAACAGAAAAATAATAAAGTTCAGAAATTATTATAAACTCCTACTGCAATGCTTATTTTAATTTCATATATTAGTGAAAGGTAAAATTCGATAAAGCTATAAAAAAAGTACGGAGCGACAAGGCAAAAGCCTCAAAAGAGGCAGAAGATTTTCAGTACAAACTCGTTCTATTGGATAGTGGGATAAAAATAATTTCTGATTGGCCCTCTTTTTCTCACATGGATTTTTTTTAGAAACAGAAGAGGAAAACAGCGAATCAAGCCACATCGAGTAGCGCTTGCTTTTATGCGTGCGCAATAAAAGTTGTTCTATCGCACAATATAAAAGTTAGCGGAACCAAGTCTTTTCTTTAATCTATAAAGCAGTTGCAAGGTCAACCTCTTTTATAGGAACCCTCAGAGGAAAAATGTGCCTTTCCGGTCGGTTCAAAGGAGAAAGACGGGCTGAATGTATTATGCTGATCTTCAATAAAACTAAAAGAGCCGCACAGATAGCCTGACAAACTACTACTGAGAAGCTTCCACTGCGACTGCAACTGCGTCTCCTTATAGAAATAATAATTCCTTTAAAAAAAAACACATGTGAATAGAACTGCTTAACTTCCTCGCGAAGCAAAGAAATATCGTGTAAATTTGAGTCGTCCACATCGAACCAAGCTGTCAGACGTCCTCCGAAGGGCGCCGCTTCCGAGATGGGGGCGCCCCACTGTTTCCATCTTGAAAAGGTTTATCAATAAGTAACACACGTATTATAAGAAATCTATAATAAAGGTCTCTCTATTTTCGTCTTAGAAGATCAGTAAAGGATTAACAAAACTTCAAAGTGTGAAGCAATATTTCCACAATATTTCAACTTCTCATATCCTTTAACAGAAAAGAATATGCATTTTCGATGACTACTACATATTTTTGATGGTCCACTTTAACATATATAAACAAATGCAGTAAAGCTGCTTGCTTTCTAACTTTTTTATTGATACTTTTTTTCTAAAAACAGTTTCATTCTAGTTTTAAGCTCAAGAATTCGGCAAACAAGTTTTTATTTACATTCTATTTTTTAATTCGCACTCGAAACTGATCCCTTAATTCTGCTCTGCTGGATTAGCGAGCTTCAACTTTATTAAAAAAGAGAATTTGTGATGCTTAGCAGTTGTAGATTACCGTACAAAAGCAGTGAATCGTTTTGTATTTTGTAACTAATTTTGCGAAAATTAAAGTGAATAATATTTTAAAAATTATAGAATATTAATAGAGAATTTGCTAACACACCACAATAAGATAGACAATTATAATATTTAAATAAAATATATAACAAATCCGTAAAAGGTAGAGCATATATATAATTTGCCAAAAAAAAAATATATAAACGTAATAAATTATGTAATAACTATAGATTGTCTGCATTAAATTTAATCCAATTAATATTCAATTATTTGGATGAGCAATAAATCTTGAGTTTAAAGAAAACTTTAAAAGACTGAAATGCAAGAAAAAAAAATAGTGGTTATTAAGCCAAAATATAAATATTTGAAACTACTTATATAAAGGTAAAAATCTGCAAGCTAAAATAATATATTCTTCTTTAAATCTTTTATATAAATAATATTAAAAAAAAACTTACAAGCAAATGTATAGCGACTTAAAAAATAATAATATAAAGAAAATTTCAAAAGATCATTAAAACCGATCACACAAAGATAAAAAAAGTTTTTAAAAAAAATCTTGGAAAAGGATTGTCTATGAAGTGCTCAACCTCAAGCAAATAGTTCAAATATTATATACTTAAGTATGTAAAATATAATAAAACCTCCAATTGCCTTGTGTTAATGAGACCTTAAATTCCGAAACGTTTGAAGGTTCTACAAGTTGAGCGAAACTTCTAGGGAAAATATCAAAATTCCTATATAGGAATAAACACAAAAATACTTAAAAAAATTATTAAAGTGAAAAAGCCAAATGAAGAATAAACCTGTACTGATATATATCCACTGAGGAACGGTTAAAAAACCGACGCAAAATAAACTCAAATTCAACTTGTACAAGATTGTGAGAAAGTGGTTTCACCTTTAAATTTTCATTAAAAGAATCTTTACAATGAGCAATAATGAAAAGACCTATTAAAAATAATTTATATTTAAGTGATATGCAACAAAGTTTATAAAGTAATATATTGTAAATGCATAAGTGACAAAAATATATAAAAACTAAAAGAAGCAACCTATAGAACTAACTATTTAATAAGAGTACCATCAAAAATAAATTGAAAATCACAAAGACAATAAAACTAGTGTAAGGTGATAACCGTAAAACTTGCTTATTACAAAGTAAATTATCAAGTTGAAGTTTTTCATCTTTTGCTAATTGTGTGACGAGAATAATAACGACTATGATAAAGGAGTGAAGCAAGACATCGCCCACAAATAGTGCAACTCTGTGTCATTAGCAATAATTTACAATGTAACTATAAAAGAGTAGGGGGGACAACTACTGAATACCTACTGATTGAAGCGTTATATATTAAAGTTAGGCCTTAGAGAAAAATTGGCGACCGAGTCTGGTATTAGGCCAAGAAGAGGCCCCCACTTTTTCTTGCAAGTAAAATCTTTTGTTGTATCTCTATAAAACTCTGCAATTCCCAAGTGGTGGAGCGCTCTACAAAATTTGCTTTAAGATATACATGGGGCGTATTTTCTTAACCTTGTTAAAATATCTAAAATTTTGTACAAAAATAGCTCGCTTTTTAGACAAAATTAATGTTTGAAACTCATTATTTAATATATAGTCTATACCTAACACTAGGTGTATGTTAACGATGCCTATAACGAATTAATTTCGCCAGTAAATATTGCACCTTACTTTACGGAAACTCTTTTCTAAAAATTCTTGCGGATCTTATATACCTTCTGGAGCTATTCAGAACGTGCTCTTTAATCTCCTTAACTCTGTAATTGTGCATGCTCTCTAGACATTGGACTCCCCTTGCTTGACTACCTACAGTATAAACGATACAACTTTGTCTTTAAATTGCACTTAAGACTAAAAGAACGTCACAAAACAACTGAATAAAATTAAAAAAAAAAAAATTTCTGTTGCTTGAATGGGTCGTAAAAAAATTTCCAAGTTCTCAACAGGATGCAAATGTACAACCTAGACAATTTTTTTTACTTTTTGCCCTAGCCCTTATAATAAATACAACAAAAATTTAAAGCGCGCTGTGCGATCGACGATGGCATGTGCCTTCCCAAGGTTCATAGCTGAGCTATTCTGCCAGTACTCATTTAATTTACTGAAAAAAGGGTAGCCAGAAGCTCAACTGGAGGTCATTGTAGAGCATATCAAACTAACAACATATATAATTAACCCTCAATTACATAGAGAAACCCCATATATATTACCCTCTAAATAATTGTACATACTATACAAACTTAAAGGAATCATATACATTTCATATATAGAACAAGAGATTGTTGAGATTAACTCCAATCTTTCTGATGACATAAATACAACGAAAATTTAGAGGCAAAGTTTAGAGCAAAACTCAAATACCAATGAAAATAATCAAACATAGAATCACAACTAATTAAAAATCTTTTTTTTCACTTTACTTAACAAAAAAAACCTTTAACTAATTTTACTTAAATGAAACCAAATTAAATGAGCGCTATATAATTGTTTTTTTCAACTAAACGGAGATACAAAATGGAAAAATTAATTTAAATCCTCGTTTTAGAAAAAAAAAAAGGAAGATTAAAAACATAGCAATATTCGTAACAAATAACCGGAAAAAATGTATAAATACGCGCCATGTTGAGGCTAATTGAATGATTGCTAACATTTACTAGCATTTACGAATTTTTTTTATTACAAACAACCACAACGCGCCCGTCATACATTATGGCAATAGCATCGTATCAGCGCTCTCTAATGACTTATTAGATTAATCTGTTTTTCTTAAAATAATTATATACGAGTGTTTTTATATAGCTGACGCCAAACTAGTGTCTAGCATAAATATTAACCTCATTTATTGTAATGAGCACCCAATTTTAGTTTCTCTTCTTCTCTTGCAGGTATATAAATTAAACGTCTTCTTCTGAAAGGAACGGGATTCTGCTTATTCTTATAATAAAGCGCTATCTTTACGCATTTTAAGTTCTTTTGTTTTCAATTATTGTTCTGCGATCTTCTTAACTCTATTTCTACGATCTTAGTAACCTTATTGTCCTCGTTTAGTTTCCTATTTTCTACCTTGCTTAACGGTAGTTCCTTCTATCTAATGTTAGTTACACTCTTGCATTTGTTACTCTATCACATAATTTTGCGGTTTTTTTTTTATCTTCATAGGACTTTATAATCGGCTTGGTTATAACATCGTGAGACGTAGCAGATGGTTTTGTCTTACTAGAAGGGAAGTAGACCTTCTCTTTGAATCGTCAGAGGAAGCAGACTCGTGTTTCTATAGATTTTGAATATCTATATACAAAGGGTTGAGATTAATTCTCCCAGATCTAATTAGTTTTAACGCTGGGGCTAAAATTCGGTGATACTAATGCATTAAAAAAAAATTCGACAAATGTGCTAATTTAACTGCTTTCTGACAGACAAATATTCATCAATATAAAATGTGGTAAATTGTGGCGCGTCAGCCTCCCTCTTGTCTTTAACATAATTTTTAAAGTTAAAATTATAAAAGTAGGATTATTTTATTATTTCTTAGTCTTTAACAGTATCCAGAACGAAATACCGCAGAGATAAACTTTATATTATTAAAAAATACAGATTTTTTAATACACTCTAGTATTGGTAATCTTTGCGTTTTTTCCATTTAAATTCCAAGATATGCTTACTTTGTTCAGTTAAGTAAATTAAGTATTCTTAAATTTCTTTAGGGTTAAGGTTAGGCTTACAACACGCTTAACCCCCATCATGCTGATTGTAATAAAAGTTTTTTTCGCATAATTAATAATTTCGTAAAGGAACTATCTAAGTCCTTAGCACTATAGATCAAACTCCGACCCGAAGTTCAGATTGGTAAGCTAGAATATTACTAAAAAATTCTTAGAGCTCCAATTAGATGTTTAGAAGAGTTTACATGCTACAACTACCACCAAGTGTTATAACGCGTTTTCCCATGCAAAACTTAAAACATGTTTAATAAAAACCCCGTTCAACAGAAAAACAATAACTAAAACACTACTTTACTTGAAATAAAAATTTCGAATTTACTCAGTGACTAAGGATTTTTTAAAAAGAAATAAGAGCCATAATATATATAACGTAGATTCCTTAGATTCATGTGTTTCGAAAATAGTTTAATCGAAACTCGTGATTCACAGTAATTAGAGACTAAATACAGCTACACAATAAATTTCGAAATCAATAAAATTTTTTTGATATTCGGGGAAATTTTATTTGTTATACTTTTTCTAACAGCGTACGGCCCAAGTAAGAAATGATATATTTTAAAGCAAACAAGCTCAATTTTATTTTTATAAAAATATGGTCTAACCTAGCATGAATAAAACATCGGTAAAGCCCACTTTTTTCTTTTGTTTTGACTATACCAATTCCAATCAGTAGCCACATTGAGATTGGAGCAAAAGTTGTTATATTAAATAGTAAAATTTAGTTGTTCCAGTGAAGCTTCTTTTTACTCAGTTGTAGGCTGCCTGCATTTGCATATAAGCTTCTATGTGTAAACTTATACTATTTGTTAGCACGTACGTCCATTGAGTTAGCATACCATGGATATATATAGAGATAGCACACTCCTGTAGGAGGGGATCTAACCTTTTCTACTCTTTATTTCCCGCGTAGAACGTGTGGTGGTATAGAGAGGCCATCTAATTTTCGTATTATCTTGTAAATTTATTTATACATATATCTACTCTTTTGCAGTCACTATCCGCGTGAGACTACCATTCTAGGGATAACACAGTCGCCAATGATTCCCCTTTAATAAAGCTTTTTCATTATTATTTTTTTTTAGCACTGGCAAACTACGATCGGTCTCCTTAAACCATAAGCCGCTTAATCTGAATTCCCCTCTACTGCAGGGGTTGGGACACGAGTGCCCACTAGTGTACGCTTTGGAGACACCTGCCAGCACCACTACCAGCCAGGCCTCCCTGACTATGAGCTCCTCACCAGAAGGGTGGAACCCGTTAGTAAGACTTTTTACTTTTCATAATATCATTTAAGGGTTGCACGCCTTAAACATCTGACTTCAAAGTGAGGGTTACGTTTTTAACCACCATTATCACCAAGTCCTTTTAAATGTATTCGTTGATAGAATTATACAAAGGCATTTTTTGCATACAATTTACAATGTGGAAAACATCAATATATTTATAAAAAAAATTGCGTATATTTAGAAAACCCTTCCATATAAGTGTTTTCAATGCCTTCCTTCCATAGTCTTTTGGGCAACTAATAATAAAATAAAAAAGATTGAAAATAATTAGTATGATTCACTAGAGGGGGAATGGTTAAAGTTTTGCAAGCTTTAGCAGTGTTCCAGCAATAAAGCTACCGTGATAAACATAGAATTCATGTTTAATTTGATGTGTTTTAAGGGTGAGCGTAATTTGCACTAACTTAAGACAAGTTTTTAGCACGGGGTAAAATATAGAATACATGCTTCCAACTACATTAGATGGTAACAACATATGAACTAACTAACTTAAAAATTCTGATAATAGTGCTATTATGAAAAAAAAAGCAAGCAGCTTACTGAACTAAACTATCAAGCGTACACTCAAATTACAATTATTAGTTTCAAGTTTCGCTTTTATCAAAGCAGCATACTTGGACCAACAGGTTTTCCACTACGTAACAATAAGTAGAACTCTCCGTTTGAAATTAATTCATTTTTGCTACATTTATTTTTAAGTATTTTGTCGAATGTGGTTCTTGCATGTGACCTAAAGCTAGCATTGGAAAAATTCTACTGTAATATTAATTCTGCACACTAAGACATCGCTGATATTTCCTTGTTCCATTAATAACGAAAATACTGAAGTATAACGGAAAATATATTAATATTTCGAGGATCTTAGAGTAAAAAACTGTTGTATTCTACTTTATAGATGATTTGTGGGCACTCCTTGATTGTCTTTCTATATGAAATAGCAAAAAAATTTTACCCGTTAAATGCATGTATACTATTAGTAGCCACTGAACTATTATCAAAAGAACCAAAATATTCTGGTCCCTTGTGTAATGACAGGTGATAAAAGTTTTCATCTTAGTACTAACGCGCCACATGGCGCACAAAAATTTTGCTTTATTTCAGCACTCTTCGGCAGCGCTAAATTTAGCAATCGTTCAGTGCTGCCATTTTTGATTAAATAATACTACACTATTGTACTAGCACCTTAACCAGTGTCAATTAAATATCAACATACATCGTTTACTAAAATAAATTTAAGCGTTATACTGTCATATGCATTAGTTACCTATATAGAGGCAGTATATTACCATAAGAAGGGATATAACCCCCCCTGTTCCTTAATTCCGAAAGGGACCGGTCACGGTGTTAAGGGTAGCCTAATTACTGTGTGAACCACATCTCTTATAAATAGGAGAAAAGGTGGATGATTCCACTATTAGTAGTTAAAATAGTAATATCAATGGAACCCTGTTTGAATAACCCGCCCGAGCTTTAGTGCAAGAAGTGTATGTTGGTCTTACATTTGTTTGTGCTAACACGTTGAAATGCTATAAACATATTTGTTAGTTTGCGTAATTCTTGCTTTCAAGCAGTACAAGGTAAGGTTTTTTCGCTAGACCTTATGGAATTTTTTTAATATTTAGAACAGTTTCATGAAACTATCGCGAAACCAATCAAAAGGATTATTGATTCGAGCAACTTGCTAAGATACACTCTTAGATTAGAAGGTCAAAATATGGCAAGAAATTACCGCAATAAATTTACAAGGTTTGTGATTAATGCACTGGCAGACCATATATATTTAAAAAAAATTTTTTAAAATAAGTAAAGCTCCTACATTTTAAAGCTGTTTGCGTTGAAGAAAAGATCCCAGTGCACAAGTTTTAACGGAAATTACCATTTTTAGGCAATATTTTATGATTATTATTGATTATTCATTGCTTAGCTGTTAGTAAATAATGAAGGTTCACGCAAAATAAACTGGCAGTCGTGTTAATTTTTTTGTGTTTTTTAATTTTTTAGTCACATCTGTACATCTATATATATATATATATACATTTGCTTACAATTAATTTTAAAGGGCTTATAGGTTCAAATACCAGTCAGTAAAGGTTTAAATACCCCAACAATTTGTTTTTTGCCTACAGGGTTTAACATCAACCTAAATTATAACCATCATAAAAAGTTAGTAGCCTACAGGGTTACTAGAAACACTTGAAATTACTATTATTAAAACAACATATAGCTTTAGTATATTCCTAATTCGGCTGTACCGACGCTTCTTATAGCCACAGAAAGGGTTAAAAAAAACTACACGTCACTTGCACATGAATACTTTGTCACTACGACTTCTAGTTAAAAATTTAATAAGAAATAAACGCGCGATTAAAAGGTTACGCTAACATAAAATTCAATTGCGCTTATTAAGTGCTAATATTTTGGTCATAGTAAACCAAATAAAGGCTAAAACAAGAAAATAATTTCTTTTTTAATAGATTTGGTTTAAATCAATTTAAAGCTGCAAAACTTCGCTCTTAATTTTAGCTTTAAGGTTAAGAATAAGTGAATAGTAATTACGCTGGGTGCATATAGCGTGTAATCAAACTTTGAAAGTGATCGTGTATAATAGATAGTAAATCTTTCATCACGCCTAAAGCGGGCGCCTACCTTAAGGGGGGCAGTAGTTTATTTATAAAGGTATCAAGTTCAACAAGTAGTGATTCATGGATTTTTAATGTCTTCTATTACGTTAATAGGAGTTATAATATCTGTTAACAATATTTTTTGGTAGTAAGAAGGGCTAGAATTTGTTGTTAAAATCAATTGCAAGTGACGATAAAAAAGCTTCGAGGCTTCTCCAGCGATATAAACCTAAGCATTAGGCCACAACCCGCCTGTTTGGGCGCCTACCATCCAAGAGCCGTTCGTGCTACGACGCGTAGACCTTATACAACTTTACTTTATCCCTCCCCATAATGGTTAACAGTGTTTAGAGGTTTCTAATTTCTTAATGTTTAATAGCTAAATTCACCTTACCGCAAAAATTTCGTCCTGGATACAATCTAACACGCAGAGGGTTATTTAAGGGCTGAGGTAGAGGGCGCGCGTGCGTTGTATAAACACGGCGGTACCTTCACTCCTTCTTCGGCTTGCTAAATACTCGATAATTAAATGAAGCCTTTAAGCGGATTTCCTATTTACGTGGGAAACGTTGAACTTACTGAGAATGTTTTGTTGTCCTTGCAGGCTGATCTGCGTTCAGTTTGCGCTGAGGCCAAGAAAAAGTTTCCTTTAGTGAAGGAGGTTTACAATTTATTAGTTTAGTAACTTATTATATATAAACTGTTCGGTTATATCCGCTTTTGTAGGCGGCCGAGAAGGCTATATTGCAACTTCGATCTTTATCTGACTCACCCCAGACCAACTATCAAGCTGGTAGTTTTATTTGCCTTCTATAGCTTAGATATTGTGAATTTTATTAAGCTCTTAAAATCTTACAATCTTACAATAATTTAAACTCTATAATTTATACAGTCGTATATCTTTTTTTTTTACTTTAAAGTTATATATCAACTAGTTGTTGCTGATCTTACTGAAGTTCCGGCCGCTTTAATTCTTGCTTGTCAAACTAACAACCCGAATCTGATTAAAATTTCTCTGGCTTGTTTAAATAAACTCATATCTTTTAATGCCATCTCCAAAGTAAATATTGTTATTCATTTATGTATATTATTTTAAGAAGTTGTTTTAAATATTTATAACTTGAAACTCGTCAGCGCTTACTCCTGACTGAATTTTTGGGGTTGTCCCCCTTATTACTTTGGCTTTTCTTTTACATATTTTATTTTTGGGCAAACTGAAATACTTTTATTATGTTTTAAAAAAATATTTAAGACTTTATTATAATCAAAAGTTTTTACTGTTATACATTTTACATCGCCCCGTTGTTTTAACTTTGGTTTTATTATAATAAGTTATTCTTAATTAAGTATGCTCGCAATGGTAATTCTTCGTTCTTCATTTTATATATTCTACTTTATTAACAATATGTTGTAATTCGTAGTCATATTTAAGTTTAAAAGCTAAGCAGTTAAACTCTATAAAGTTGTTGGGCTAACGAAATTCTGAGGATTTGCTATACAATTTTAAAAGCTCAATGTTTATTGTATATTTCTCCATCTTTCAAGTTAATTCGCAGTTTTTTGGAAAGTTAGGGAGGAATATTTCTATTTTTATTTATTATAGAAATCCTTGAATATTTTTTTACTTAGATAATTTGGACATAAAGGTTCTAAAAATGATATTGTTTTACTATGTATAAGTATACAATATTTAAATATTTTTGGCATTCTACAATTGTGGGTATAATTTTCAAAAATCAGCATTGCTTTATTAAACATTTAGGAGGGAATATCGACCACTGTCGATCTCTTGTTCACACTTTTGGACTCCCATCTTGAGCTGATCAGAGTTTGTCAGATTGTTAATACGCTTCTCACTGGTTCTTATTTAGTTAAAGGAAAGATTCTTGCAGGAGTAAAATTATATTAAATACTTATTCTTATCTAAATTTTTTTTGGTTTATTTTGTTAAGTTCCTTTTTTTCTGCTCGTTTAATTTAATTTCGTTTTATTTAAAATATTATTTCGTGAACTACTACTCTTTTTTATTACTTCATAAGTTTCTTAAAAAATCTAAATTCTTTTTAACTTTTCCTATCGGCAAACAGCTTTGTTCAGTTTGTTTTAAGCTGTATATGAGCAACGACGTAGTGATCAGCAACACCGCCGCTGCGTCTTTACGGCAGTTCCTCACCATCTCGTTAGAACGAGCCGATAAGGAAATCGCTGACTCCGAATTTGGTAAGAGGATTTTGTTAGCTCTATTTTATTTTTTACACGTCTTTTATTTACCTTCTATTATAATAATGAAGTAGTTTACTATTATATATGGTTAAATTCGATTTATTAAAGACTTTAAACATCCGTAAATGTATTATATATACTTTAGCGTTTCTTCTGTTTGTTATACTTATAGATATGTGTAGGATCTGATTAGCTGTTCTGCCTTATTTTTATATTATATCCATAAAACATTAGTGAATAGCAACGAGTTTCCCCTCTCCTCTTACTGCAGCGACATTCTACTGTTTTTGAAGGTATTTATTGCCATCTGCAGGCTTAGTGCGTTCCAGTAGCATTCCGATGGTAGGACCTCTGCCATATTATTCGCGGGGAAGAACTCCAGTTTGTTGAACATGCGCCAGTGATATCTGCCCACTTCTCATTGGAGCTTATTGAAACCGCGTTGGCCTCTTACGAAGTTCATATACTGAAAGTATTATTTATCTGCTACTGTAGTTGTTTGCAAGCTACTTATAATCGAAGCAGACTCCTTCATTTGAGCATTTTATCAAGACTTCAGTGTGTCCAATGATCATCAGCGATCTATTCCATCCCTCAGAAAGTACTAACGCGGTACTTGATTGACTGTTTCCCCTCCAAAGTTTTTACGTTTCGAATTGCAGAATTCCAATGGAAAAATCACTTTTCCCCTTTTTGTTCGTCTTTTGAGGATTATGAAAGTCTTGATGGAAAACTTTTTCGATATTCTGGTTTCTCTGCTTCATGTTTTATTGTTTATATATTTGTAAAGTACTTTCACCTATTGTATAGCCAACTGAATGCGAGGTCTTTTTTACTATACTCGTTAAATATCTCGACGAGGATCAACCGGTGAGCTTTACACATGTGACAGTGATAGTTTATAAAACATGTGCGAGTGGGGTCCATTCGGAATCGTTTTCTTTACAATTGGGTAATTATAAAGGGGGGCCTACCAGACTATCGCTTGGTACTGTCACCATGTGGATGTTTGCTGTTGTCGATTCATCTATTCTGCTTCTATTTTTATGTATTTTTTAAAAAGTTATGGAAAAGAGCCGTAACTGCTGAGGTGCTCAACAATTTGTGCGGCAGCGCCACCACCCTGAGGTTTTCTTTTGTATATCGTGGAACCCTGCATTACTTCTTACGAGTACTTTTTGAATGAAACATTATTCATATGCTCCATTTTTTTAAGAGCTCTCTGCCAACTCTCAGCGGCTGATATTATAGTGAACAGTTTTATTGCAAAGTTGGCCGAAAGTGAGTTGCTATGATTTATTGTGTGAACGTCTTTGTGATCTATCCACGTCATTTTAGTTATCTGTAGCGTTTCCTATTCCGATTCCACCAATCAACTCTCTGATGAGTTAAGCTATCGTAAGCAAGCACTGTAATAGTTAATATAAACCACGACGAATACAAAACTGATGGACCGAATCAGACTGGACTTGCTCGATAAACTCGGCCCTTCTTCGGCACCGCCGGATTATTTTTACTCCCTGTGCGTCTCGTGCATGTTAAATATTTTTCAAACCGCGGACGTCATCACCAGAGACGAACTGAAGGGCCGATTGTTGGGCAGTCCGACGAGCATACATACCGATTCCGATAAAAGCGATCCGTCTTTCTCTATAGGAAAGTACATCATCAAACTTTCCTGGTGCGTGGGTATCATTATTACTTAAAAATTGTTTTAAAATTTTTTTTTTGGTCAGGAGTTTATTTTTAAAACCATTGGTAGCAGTCGCAGAGGAAACTTCGCAAGAACAAATGCTTGCTAAAGTTTTTAATGGTATCCTTCATAAGTATTGGTGTAAGCAATCGATCTCGTTTAAATAGATATCGCTATTATAAAAGCGTTTGAGACTGTTTGCCAGTTGGCCGCCATTGTAGAGCTACCCAAAGTTTGCGAATCTTATTTGTTGGCTTTATATAAATTTGTTGTTCCTGCACCAATTAAAGTAGACGACGGTTTGTTTATGTATTTTTAAACGATTTTTTATGAGAATATGGTTATTGTTAGTTTATGAGAATGAAGAAACCTGCTCTTTTACACCGCCTAATGAGACACCCATTCTTACTCAGAAGGTTTTTATTATAATAATAATAGTAATAATAATAGCAATAATAATGATACAAAAGAATAAATTAGCCGCTCATGTTTTTTTAAACATTGTGGAAGTAACATATAAAGTTCTTGACACCTCGTGGCTTGCCGTTCTGCTGCGATTGCAAGTAAAACTTCGCTGTATATTGTCCTCTTTATAATAGTTGACAATATTTAATATAATTTTTATGATAACAATGAAACCATAAGCATTAATTTTTGTTGTTATTGTTTGGTTAAAAAATTATGACACCAGCAAGAGCCTTGAAGTGGAGATTGGCCCTTTTCAATAAAGCCACCAGCGTGGTTAGAGAATGCTCTTTGCGAGCTTATTGGCCTAAATAAATACCATCGATAGTCATTAGTACTGTTCCTATTAGTAATACTCGAAAACAACCTAACTTGTATATATTTGTAATGAATGCCTTTGTTTGTTCTTCTCTCTTTTCTTTATTAATGTTTAATAACTTTACACCTGATAGGTTATTGACTATGTTATTACTAAAAGCTATAAACTTCTTCCCTTGTCCGGGTATAATAAGACTCTTTGACCCTCAAAAACTTCCATTTCAGCTTTTTTAATATTTATTGTTAATCAATAAGAGCCGATGAACCAACGGAAACCGCAGAACTGAGCGAATTCAGTTGCACTCAGCGTACTTTGACCCCGCATGAGCTTTTGGATCGGGTACAGCTACTGGCGCGCATGCTATCATCTGCCATAATAATGCGCCACTTCTTTTATAGATCCCACGTTTTCTTTCCGCAACGTCATGCTTTTCTTCCACCTCTTTTGAACGCTTTCTGGAGGTTTTTTTCAAATTGACCTCCACGTGGGTGTCTTCTACTTTTTCGAACCGGGCCTTTGCCTCTTCACTGTTCTTTACACGTTTGCTCATTGTCTGTTGTGGTAACTGAAAAGTTCGTAGTGAAGTTTTTGCTTCAAAATTTAAGTTTATGGTTTATATAAGCGAATGTCGAAAGAATATCGTCTTATTGGCCAAAAGTATTATCCTTTTTACGCGGTTTGTCCAGAAGCGAAACTTCTCTCATCCGTGTAGGCGCTGTTGAAACACTTTCAAAAGTTGGCCTTCTTTTAGTTTTTTTCAATATAAATTTTTTGTTATTTTCCTTTTCTGCTCAAGCTTACTCATTATTTTTATACCCCTTTTTAGTTTGTACACTTCTTACTAAAGTCAAGAGAATCGCGCAGTTTCGACTGCTCTTCTGAGGTTCTCGAAGGTTTTCATCATTATTATTCCTATTATTCCTATTACTACTGTTATATGCGATGCAGAGAATATATTTAGCGGGCTGAGAACGATAGGAAGCGAATATTTAGATACTCAAGAGAGGCAACTGGAGTGCCTCCAAACGCTTCTTCAGACTTTTGGCCAATCCCTGTGTGTTGGGTATTTGTTCAAAATATCCAAGTTATTAATGAAGCTACTTATATGCGCTCCACAGATGGCCGTATATACTAGAAATTTGCTGCTCTTTTTCTTTTAACGATAAAAATTTTACTGGTTTACTTTTTTGGTCATCACTTTATATGATCGCGCCTACTTTTTTAACCAATGGCAGGTGTTAAAGATGATAAAGTGATGGTTATCCGCAATATCAGAGCAGCCTTCGAAAGTTTGCAGGTTATATAATAAACTACACAACTATGAAGTAAAGGGGGAATAATTATTATAATAATAGTTAACTGTTACGGACTTTCTTTCTGTTCTTCCGAATGAATGCTTGTACGCGTGCATGGAGAGCGGTTGGTTGTCCTTATAGTTTTTCAGTGCTTTCATCTTTTTATTTTCCTTTATTGATGTCAAATGTTGGTTTACAAGTAGTAGAAATTTACCCTTTTTTTGGGATTACTTGCAGTTTTTATGGTGCTTTATAGTGGAATTTTTTACTATTGTAAAGGTTTTTATGTTTCCCCCCCTCATATTTCTTTAAGTGGGGTTTTTTGGAACCCAAAAGTTGGATGTCAATATCAGCTTAACTGCAGTTGGCTTGCTATGGAACATTGCGGACTACTTACACACGTACTTTATTTCTTTTGCTTTCGTTTCTTTTGTCTCCCTTTTTTATTGGTTAAATTGTGTGCGTTTAGAATGTGATTTTAGCCATGAGATTATGCTTAAAGCCTCTTTATAATATATATATATATTTATAAGCGGCAGGGAAGCCAAACTTTCTTCTTTCCCGCTGTCCAACAATGCAGTAATTCTCGAAGGTTTTATATTTTATTTTTATGTCCACTAAAAGCTAGCCATTGGTCACGCATATAAGTAAGCTTTTTTTATAGAAATTTTGACATGTGTCATATTAAACCGCTTTGCTTGAAGCCAGTAAAGAAGCTATAGCAAAGGTTAGCGTAGAGAAGTGGCTGCAGAGCCATGTGATGAGGTCTTTCAGAATGTTCGGGGCATTATAATCCAATAGTAGTATAAATCCATTGTAAGAGGAGCTCCTACGTAACACGTGTGTTGGCGTCCGCCGCCCTTTTTCTGGCGTTTGCCTCGAACAACTTCCGTTATTTATCTCTTGCTGTGTTGATTGTTACGTTTACGAAAACATCATTTTATGCGTGCCAGTTAAAATTAAGGATAAGACGAACTGTGCTCTGAGTGGTGCAGTCCGTCCGCCATGACGGCTTTTTTAATAACTTATAACACTCGCAAGCAAACCTCTTTTTTTACTGTTTGCAAGCTATAAAAATGCAACTTGTACTCTTCTTTTATGAAGAGTACAAGCTTTCCAAAGTTCAAGCACTTCATTAAAAGCAAACTAAAAGTTTCTGTCAGTCCACCTTTAATATTCCACTACTAAAAATAATGATGAACTAAAGAAATAGAAAATGACGCCCATCACGTGGCAATCCGACTCGGATCCTCCATGAAAAACTCTTATGATTCGCTTTGGATCACGTTGTTTTCCCAACTCGCTAAACTTTGTGTTGACCAAAGACCAGAAGTGCGAAAAAGCAGCAACCAGACATTATTTGGTATTTTTTATATGTTAAACCTCAGAAACTTTTGAAAGCACATGTATAGAAATAAGAAAATTACTATACTATAGAAGATGAACTTTTATTACTATGAAAAAACTTTAGTGTATTTCTTGTATTAGAAACTTTAAGAAGCCACGGAATTCATTTTAGTACGGATGTTTGGCTAATTATATTTTGGGAAGTTTTATTTCCCTTATTTGTTAATGTTCAGGATTCTTCTGAAGACGCCGCAGGAATGGTAACTTTTGTTTATTTTTATTGGCTATTAATTTTTTTTGTTTGATTGGTTTTTTAAATCCATCAGTTTTCTTCTAGATTTTATATGAAGCACTATTATGAGATATCTTTTTCTTAGGAGCAGCCTCCCGCTGTTAATTTGTTATTTCGTCCTCAGCAAAGTACTATAATCGAGCAGTGGGACGAAACGAAAATTGATATTATTAAAGGTCCGTCCTTCGATAAATAATTATACAACACGTGAAAATTGATTATAAATAAGGAACGACCAGCTTGTTTGAAGCTCACACCGCCGTGATATATGCGCTTCCTTCCTTCCATGTTAAGTGGCGCGCGCTTTTGCACTACATGAAAAGCTTTGCGCTACTTCCCAGCAAAGCGGTTTCTCACCGGGCCATGATTGGCTACATAGAGCTCGTAAAGTCATTAGGTAATTTGTTGGATGCATTATTATTTGAAATAAAATTATTCATTACTTTTTTGAGACTTAACTTTTTTTATTTTTTCAGACAGTCTTTTTGGGAAAAGTACTACACATGCTGAAGTAAAACTTTTTGCTCAATATTTATGCTTTTCCTTATTTTGTTTATTATAGTAACCAGTATTTACTTAGTACTGTGTAATACATTCTAATATTACTTTCCCTTTTACTATGCCTGGTGCCATTTTAAGCGTGAATCTCTTCCTGCACTTCATATATTGTAGTGAATTTGTGACCTCTAGCTAATTATATATTGAAAGGGACATGGACAACCCCCCGTGGCCGCCCGGAAGACGCTGTGGAATTCTGCTTGGCAGACTTGGGCCTGCATTTTTGCTGTATAACTCGATAAATTTTAAGAAGACGTTAAATGCAGCAATAAAAGTTGGTTTCTGTTAACTTATCAGATGCAGTCGCTGGAGGCTCATGTTCCTCTTGCAAATGTCTTCCCTTTGATTTATAAGAACATTCGGTCTTTTATCGCTTTTCCTTTTCATTATTTTTTTTTCTTAAGTATCTACCGCAGTTCCGAGTTTGCACGTCCGGAACTTTGCGTTTTTTTTAAAGTTTGCCGGGAAGTTGTTTTGATGGACATTCATTTTTGGTGGCCCACGTATTCTAATAAGCATTATAGTAGAGATTGGCCTTCTTTAAGGACCTCGTCTTTCCAATCTTCCGTGTTTAAGCTTCTGTGTTTGGTGGTTTCTCCAGTGTGCGACAGTGATTGGCCCTTTATCTTTTCAGAGTGGCTCTACTACCTATCATTGGGCTACCAAGAAAGTGTGAATAGAGCTGTTTTTGGTAACAATTTCTGCCAGAATAATACCGATGCTACTAAGAAATCTACTGATAACGGACTATGTAACGATGACCTCAGTGATAATAGTGAGGGCGATAATAGAAGTATTACCAACAACCATAATAGTACTGCTCATAAGCTTCTTAGTAAACACGCTAAACATGACATGAAGACACCTAATAAGAAAAAGAAGGAAAATAACAACAACGGAGGCCGCCAGGAGAAAACTGCTAAAGTTCTAAATAGATCTCCCAGGTTACGTGTTTATCTGAGCAGTAAAGCCCAATTATTTCTCATTGGTTTTTATAGAGAAGTACTTTTCTATTATTATTTTCAATGATTACTGATTTACTATAAAGTTTGTATGCTTTCCTATGTAAATTGCATCAAACTCTTTCCTCATTTCCTTTTATGTTACAGCGAAATAGTGCAAGAGCCTTCAACTTTTCTAGTTTACTACTGTTCCACCTTTCAAGGCAGCATTTTGGAACTTTTTCAGACATATTACGAAGAGTTCTATAACAACAAACATGTGGTCCGCGAAAAAGTTTTACTTCAGTTCATTCAGGTCCGCATTGGTTCACACGTGATTGGTTAACCTTGTAATCACGTGTGATTTGAGACTTGCAGTGGAATAGTTCCCATTTGCCTTCTTTTTCTATATTTTTCTTATATTTAGCCTTTATTACTATTTTACTGGCTATCATCCCTTTTTATTATATGACTGAATTCTGTTTAATTATAGTAAAACCATTTCCCTTTTCTTTTTCTTTTTGCTTACATTGTTATTATACTCTGGAGTACTGTTTTCATACTGTTTATTATCTATATATTATTAGACTTCTCGTTATATTTTACAAACGAAATATAAATTTTTCAAGTGCTTGTTATGGAGAAAAGCCGTCGAGACACTGCTGTTCGTTGCAAATCTCGGTTTCCTGCATATTCAGGATCACAGTAACCAATATTTGTAGTTTCACGGCTTTTATCATAACCTCATTGGTGGATTTTTTTTCTTGCTGAAATTATAATGAAACCTTTCAGCGCAAGGAAACAAATTGTTATCTCAAACTTGGACGGCTTTGCAAATTTCGCTCGAGTTATTTTTTTTTCACTTCAAGTAAATTAATATTATTATTATCAAAATTATTATTATTATTATTATTATAAAACTAGGCCTACTTATAAAGTTGACTATAAATCTCTTGAAGAGGATGAACAACTGGATATACTTTTAATAAAGTGTTTAATAAAAAATGCATTTGAATTATTACCTCATCTCAGTGATAAAAGCCTTCTTGCTTTCGAAAAACTTCTAAGAAAAGGTCTTTCAATATAACCTTTTCTTATTGGCTACCAGCATGCTTACTTTTCGCTCTAATTTTAGCGTCCACGCTTGATTTACGCCCTGCGAACCAACGCACCAATAAGATGCCCGGCTATGTGAGGGAGAAGTTTCGTGAAGAGTCTTTCAATTACTTCTTGTCGCTGGCCTTCCCGCCAGGTGTGGATGACGCCCATTCAGGCAAGCCCTTTTATATAAATATAAATACAGACTTGTTCCGGTAAAAGTTTTATATATCTTCAAAAAATTGTGTGAATTGTTATTAATTTTTTTTTTTAATTTACAAACTTCGTGTAGTTTTCACTGCAGACCTTATAGATTTCTGTTCGAAGACATTAATAGGGTATGCCAAAGATTCTCACTTTCGCGGCCTGCTTCCTCTTGATTGGTTAGAATCGATTACTACATGAATACAATAAATTTTAAAGTTCATTATTTTGGTTGAACTTTTTTGATGGGTTTATATAGTAATTTAAATCAATAAGGAGAAAAGCATTTTGTCTGCATTGTTATCGATTTTGACTCTAAATTTATTATGAGATCTATTTTTATTAGTATTAATTATTTGGTTTTGAATTTCAAGTTTTTAGTTTTTAGTAGTATATTAACCTGAAGTATAGTTCAATATACTAATGAATGTATTAATATTATTTTTATTGTTTTCTTTATAATAATTATAACATTATTATAAAACTGTATATTAATAAAAGTACAACTTTTATTACAATCTTAAAAATATATAGCCTTAGTAAGAATGACATTGTCAGAAACAATTTTGTATCCTTTTTCTATAATAACGAAACTTTTATAGAAGTAATTTTAATAACAAATATCTAACATTAATTCCTAGTTGCCTCTTAATTGTTTAAAAGTCCAGCTTTACTATTTTTTCTGTAAAAGTGATCTAAAATTTTTATTACCAACGAAAGGCCTCGAGTACTTGAAGTTGAAACTACACTGAGAGCGCTCGACACGATAATTGGTCTTTTCATGGAAGCAGGTGCATATTTTTTTCTCGTCCCCCGTACTTCTTGCTCTACTATTTAACATCATACAATTTTTCTTATAAGCTTTTTATAAAAACTATTCAAATCCTTATAAATTTAATTTATATTTAATGTGATATACAGAAAAAGAGACCTTAAAAAAAAAAATTATATTGATCTCTAAACTCTACGAACCATTGGTTAACTGTATTGGCTGTAATAGTAATAATAAAGGCATCCATCTCTCTTTGCAGCGTCTCCTTTTGAAATATGGAAAAATTTTTTTTAACTGCTGCGAGGGAGAATGAGGTGTTGTACTCGTAATAAATATATCCTCAAACATTTCATTATCTGATTACTATTGAACTTGGCAAGTTTCAAGAACAGCTAAAGATATCATTTTTTATAAAATTGAGCATGTGATAAATGACTACACTTGGCATACACGTGGTAAAGAACCCTTGTTTTTTTACGGTTATATTTTACAATACAGTTTTACGCATTTTCCTCTTTTTGGCCAAAGTTTCAGAGTTATATTAATTTCTATTTACAATAATTTTTTCAAGTGAATGAAGGGCTTTGCATAAGCTTAATACCATTTTTCAATTAAATTTCTATACAATAAACTGGATTTTTTAAAATGGTAGAAAAGTGACCTTAGTTTTTAAATCTTTAGTTTTTAAGGCCGAAACTCTATTGCTCTATGTAAGGAACCACACTGATAAATGTTTTAAGTTATGGTGTTTATAGTTTACAGTTAAAAAAACTTTTGTAGCTCTTGTTTTCATTTATTGTCCTTCTAAAAGTACTTATGCTGTTTTCGTGGTAAGCGGGCTATTGGTTTTCAGGTAATAGATATTCTTCCTTATCTCATGCTGTTAAAACTCTATATTTATTTTAACATATAAATCTTATGAGAAAACGAAATTACGAACCACAAAAATAGAACAACGGTGAGATTTAAGAGATTATTCCATATGTAAAGGTAACTTCTCGAAATTTGGTAAATTGCTAAGTTAGTTTATGGGATGACACTAATTTTCTTTGAATTTACCCGAAAAGATTTCCATATTTCTAAATGGGGCCTCATATATTCTATTCATTTAGTTTGCATATTTTATTTCGTCCTGTTAGTATTTAATCGCTAAATTTGTTTTCCTTTTCTCAAGAAAAAATATTCCCAGAAACTACCAACGACAGTCTTGGGAAACAAAAATAGCGAAGCCAAAAAAAAAACTCGGGTTGGGGTTGGGCGTCTCCTTTAAAAAAACCACCACGGCGAGAGGTGGCCACCGCCCCCTGGACGCCGATCAGTGTCGCTTTTTAGACAATTGCCACTAAGAGCTGTTAGATGCTTTTTAATTATACATTAGCTATGCTGACATGCTACTTATCTTATAAGTTTTAAAATTTTATGACTCTTAGGAAACCTTGACTCAACTTTTTAAAAAAGTTTGAAATTTTCAATTTAATAGTTAATTATTCGGGCATACTACTCTTTTTAAGAGTTTAAAATTCCTATTGATGTTAAAACTTCTTTTTATTGTTTACTGTAATAAAGTATTTATCCGACTTCCTTGTTTTTTCTGTATGAACAGTAACTAATAAAAATGGTCATCTCCCCATAGACTGTCTACATATGTGAAGGTATAGGCAAAACTGTAACTGTGTGCTTAAAGCGCACACGGGGCCTTCAGGATCGTGCGCCTTTCCAGGGTTCGTATGTAAGTTCTTGAATCCACTGGTGGTTTGGATGCCTACTAACAGGTTCAAATGAAACTGAAGTTGCAATTCGGAAAAAGCCCAAGAGTCGTTCCAAACTCAGGTCGTCATGTAATGTATCGTTTCGCAAGAAAAAAGGTGCGCCGGTCTTTGGTCGCAGGAACTTACTTCGCTGCGTCTGAGGGTGCAATCGTTGACGATTAATTGCAAGTCCAAACAACAGATGCGTAAGCCATAATAGGGTGCACGCATACTTTATAAAAGCGCAGTTTATTGCGCAGGGACATTGCGCTTATAGCACATAGCAGCGGTGGAGTGCGTAAATTACTGCTTTGACCCTAGTCGTAACGTACTCTAAGTGTTGCCTCCAATTTAGTCGCTTATCGATGATGACTCACAAGTATCTGGCCTGGGAGCCCCATGGGCTTTTAACAGCTTCGAGGGTTAGAGAAGGAGGGGCGTGATGCTCTTCGATCCATGAATGTTTTCTCCTCATTTCCTACACCAGTCGGCAAATTCTTCCAAATAACTCTGCAGGTGTTGCCGTAATAATGAGGGGCTCTTTGAGAGCGCGCCAACTGCAATGTCATCAACATAGAGCGCAACACGGGCGTGAGGGTTTCCAGGGAGAGCGAAAAGTAGGGGCGAGAGCAGAGAGCCTTGCAGACACCAGTTGTCAGCCCACGGTTGGCGACAGCGCAGCCCCAACTCTCACTCGAAAGGTGTGTCCGTGTAGAAAGGCCGCAAGTGCTGTAGAGAGCTAACGGAGTACCTATGTCCGTAGCTTGCGTAAGAGACCCACTTGCCTACGCGGTCAAAGGCCTTGTCAACGTGCTAAATACAACGCCAGTGGATTTCTTTAGATTGAAGTTCCGAGTTGCCCATTCAACAAAGCGCAAAAGTTGTTGTGTCGTCGGTGGCCTCTTGGGAATCCAAATGAAAATTCTGAGAGCACCATGTTTTTCTACAAACTCTCCTGGCCTGTGTAGTAAAGCAGCCTCCACTGTTTCGCCCACCACTGAAAGAAGGTTAATGGAGCGATATTTTCTGGGTCTGCTAAAGTCGCAGGGCCTTAGGTAGCATCACGACAGTTGGCTGTCTTCCATCGCGTTGGGAAGGAGCCAAAACACACTGCAGAAGTTGCAAGAGAGGAGAAATGGTTAATCTCCACCGGCGGCAGTTTTTTTAGCATTTCGTTAGTAATACCGTCGAGGCCGGGTGTTTTCAGTCGTGAAAGTGCAGAAACTATATCAGTGATTTCATCAGGTGAGCTCGGTTTAATAGAACTGTCCACAATAATCAAGGGGTACCGCGCCGCTTATATATATAATACTTGCTAACAATACTCTTAGCATCATAGCAACAAAGGGAAGGTGATCGGATGAGAGCTCACGCAGTCATGCGAGCGATATCGACTGGTGCATATCTTCTATGTCGAGGAGATCTTAATTGCCCATTTTGTTGCCAGGTGCGTCGAATGTTGAGGTGGCAGCACGCGAATGTTGTGTCGGTCCGTGAATTTCTCAAGAATTTTTCACTCGACTGTTCCAAGCAGTGTGTTTGCGATTTAAAGTCACCACAAAGAACGACGGGTAAGCCGCGTTGTAGTTGCTTATTCCGATCACTTGTGAGCAGCGGCATGTTGGGAGGTTTATAGACAGACATCACGTCAGTCAGTCTCCCTACGATCTCCACGCCCTTTAGGTTTGGGAGTGCAAGCGAGTGGCGTGGTAGATTTCGCCCACCAGAATAGCTACTCAATCGTCGCGTCTGTCAAGATGGCCAAAACGGTACGTTGCATAGAGTTAGAGCACAGACCATTCACCCCCTTTCAAGTGCGTCTCGCTTAACAATGTGACATCCATATCTAAACTCTACAACAGCTGAAGCAGTTCATCCTTTTTGCAGTGCACATCGTTGGCATTTCACTGCAAGTTTCCGGTGGCGTAATAGAGGTGTTTTAACAACCATTTGCGGCCGGCAGGTTGCGAGCGGTACCAGAATCTCGCTAATGGGATGCAGAGCAATAGGACTTTGTTGTTGAGCGGGTTGCGGCCCATGAGTTTTTTTCCCATCATGACTGCGATAGAGATCGTCGGCGTTACTGGTTGCGTTTCCGTGGGGTGTTGACGTGTCAGTGGTAGAGAAACGATTTTTCGAGGATATTATAAACACCCTTGGTAATTTGCTGCTTGGGCCTCGCCATAGTTAGTGTATTTAGCGGGCAACTCTAGGGGTTTCACACATTGAATCGTTAAATAGTTTTTCCCCACACTTGACGCAGCGTGGAGTGATGGCAGCGCTGACACCGCCCCATGCGGTTATGGTTCAACGCTTATTTTAGGATGACATAACGATCAATGCGTAGGCTACAGGTCTTTACTTTCTCGGCAAGTGTACGAGGAACAGTGGCAGTAACCACTTAATGCGGTTCTCGCCGACTGAGCGGGTTGTAGGAAGTCCTGCAATGTGGAGGGGAGCTGAGCACGTAGCGCCGTTTCAATGTCAACTATAGGTAGATTGGTGTGAAGACGTCAAAGAACGAGCTTGACGGGTTCGTCCTCCAATAGCTGGGTAGTGCTTGTAAGAGCGCTCCCCTTAGTAGTTCTACTATTCTGCGGTACTCCTCGGCAGTTGATGACAATAGGCGGAGGCCGTCGCGGAGATCACGGGCTGGAAGGGCCTTTGCGCCCTGAGTGTTCCGGTATTTCACTAGCGTAGGCCACATTTTCTTGTCAACAAGAATGATAGGGGGGATTTTTTTACTTTACGCGTCGGTGGCCCTTCCGGGGCTGCTCGTGTTTTTTTTTTGCAGTTTTTTCAGAGGTCGTGTCTGCTTTTATTCTATCCAACTCTGGTTGGGTTAACGGTTGTTCTGGCAGAGGGGTGGTTAAAGCAATTTTACGTTAATATTGTCCTTACTATTACAACTATCATTACAAATAATATTATTACTTTTATCACTTGTTTTACTATTAGTAATATCATGGTTACTATTATGGCTGCTGTAGTTATTTTTTTTAAAGCTTTCTTCTGTTATTACTTTTGTTAATAAAATAATTATTATGAATACTATTATCACCACTTGAGGGTGTTTCATGTAGTTAACTATCTCCCAGAAGTTCTCTTTTATTGACCAAGGTTTGTCTAGAAGGAATAGCGCAGAAATATAATTAGTATTTGCAATACTTTAAGTTTAAAAAATTCTTTGCGCCTTTTTAGCATTTTTTCCAGGATTTTTTTTATTTTCCAGTTGATTAAGTTTTGCTTTAAGAAATTCTAATTCATTTTTCATAGTCGCGTTGGCAACCAACAAGTTTGTTGATTAGACCTTGTCGCCAGTTTTTTGATGAAGGACCCATTATAACCGTTCAAAAAGAAATTATTATATATACCTAAAAAACCCCGTTATAACAATAGTAATAATTAGTAGTAATTTAAAAGATATACATACATAGGTAGGTAGGTGAATGCTTTTATTTAAATCTTTAGTGCATAGTACTTTATCTGAGTCGTTATACGTAGCAATAGTAATTATATGGCCGGTTGACTGAAATTAAATGTTCAAAAGGTGATTTGATAATTTTAGTTGTGTTTTACGGCACATCCCAAGATATTTTAAAATTATATTAGTAGAGAATGGTACCTTTAGATTTGTTGGTCGCTTGAATTGATACATAAATTTTAGTTATTAAATAATTTTGCCATAATTAACGGAGGGCGGTCTAACTACACCATAAAGGTGTTATTACTGAACATGGTAATACCACTTACATCCACAATAATAGAAGGCTAACATAAATAATAATCTATTTTCTCGTACAGAAAATTAAAGAAAACTGTTAACATTCAAACTCTCTTCACTTTCTCTGCGCTTTTTGATTAGTTTTCAACCTTTATTTTACCTAAGTATTTATAAATCCCTGGTTTATAAAACCGCCCACCTTTATGACAACATATACACAATTTTTATAATGAAAGATGCATCCTTTAATTTTTGCTTTTAATTCATCTATACTTAATTAACCGTGATGACTTTTTTTTGTTGGGAGGGAGGGGGGCGGGGGAAGCAGTAGTTATAAAAATATTTACAGTCGCTGAATGAAGGAAAGATAATTCTATTTTCGCAGTTGGTTAAAGCTCTCTTGCTAAGCATTATCTTTTTATTAATGAGCGCCTCTACCGTCATCCATTATCTTAAACCCGTTATAAATAAGTTTATTAAATTCTGCAATTTCATATGTTCTTTTTATATTTGGATCTTAGAATTCTTTGCTTAAGTAATTATAAAATTACTGTCGGTCGTAGCTTATGTTTTACCTATTCACTGTCAGTGTCATGTGTTTCTGTATAATTGTCTGTTAGCTTGTTCAGGTGTCATTGATGTTAGTTCAAGTATTTGATCTCAAAATTTTCTCGTGAATACTAGTTATACTCAGAGCTTAATAATCAATAACACCCTTAGACATAGTGTAAGATTTCGAGTCTGTCAGCACCTGAGGTTTCTATAATGTTGTACTGGTGATTGGATTTTAATTTAACTGTTATTTTTAGAACGACAGTACCACAAGTAGTGGTTGTAAAAAGCGTAAATATACACCCAAAGTAGGATTATATATATAAATTTTTAAAGACATATACATGACTCAGGCGGGAATTAAGCCGAACCCTTAAACTACAACACGTTCCACCCAAGAAATGAAGGTGTAAAATTTAGATAACCTCCTGCGGAGGCTTGCTATCTCTATTTTTGTTTTGGCATGCTAAACTAATAACTGCTCGTGGCCAACTTAACCTCATAAACTAAGATTTAGTCTCCTAATTTATGAACGTGGATAATCATAATTATTCTATTTGAAGATCTTGACATAGTCCACTATAATTAAATCTTTTAATCCCATTTCGTAAATGAAGATAGCACTGCTTTAATACTTTCAAATATAACACTTTAGAGATTTGTACCTTAATTTGGCTACTTACGGTATTCATAACAATATTATCGTGTTATCCGTTTTAATCATAGGTATGAGGGTCGCGTGGCGGAAAATAAGCCTAGACAAGTAAGACTAATTTAAAAAACTATTATATTTTTTATTTTATAATATAATCTCCATCTATATCAATGCATCTTCCACATCGGCCGTGCAATTGTTTTATAATGCAAAAAAAAGTATTCCGAAACTTTGTCTGCAAAAAGCTCTACAGCCCACCTCACTTCGTTTTCATCGGAAAATCTTTTAGGACATAACCTCGGCGCGTTTTTTAATCCTCTTGTTATTTTCTTTGTAAGGTTTGGTTTGGTGCTCCTGGGAGTCCTAAATTTAAAAAAATTTTTACAGTTCCTTTAGTCCTTCCACTTTATAATTATATTACGTTAAAGTCTATAGTATATCTTATTACCATATTATATAACTTAGGTTTTATATTTTTTCTTGAGGACTTTCGGTCTGTAAAATCAACAAATGGGAGAATTCCTCTTCTATGTTTGTCCCTACATTTCTCAATAATTGCTTTTCAATAGGATGGTAAAGTTAGCTATTCGTTCTTCTCTAGGGAGGTGGCCCACCATAATTATTCCTGCGCTACCCCAGAATATCGTTGCCATAATTTTGGTAACCACTCTCACAATCTTAAACTTGCGCGGTGGTTATTCTTCCTTTTTATCTACTCCAGGGAATTATGTTTGGATTCTGGAGCGTACTGATAAATCCATGTTTCATCGCAGGTTGCAATTCTATTTGTCATCGCACTCCAATCATATTCTCACATAAACGATGAAATTTACGCTAACTTTCCACTCTTCGTTCCCGACCAAGGGGAGTTAAGATTTTGGGGGCCCAGCCCCCGCTCACCTTGCTGGTCTTTAGTTTATCTGCTATCTAGCAAATCTGTTTTTTCACGGCCTTCATGGACTAATATTTTCTTCCGTAACGACCGTGTAAGCCTGTTCTAGGTGCCCATCGTCTTTAAGTGGCGGTCGTCCTTTTTAAAACAGCCTTGCATGTAGTGCAAGAGGTGAGATTTTAAATAATCCATTACAGAGGCAAAAAAACCTGAATCTGTTGTGGCAAATAAAATAATGGTGGTTAAAAAAGGTTATACAAATTTAAGACAAGGTGCGGGCGGTTTTTAAAATTGGTTACTTAGTGTATAACCTGTACTATTGCTCGGATTAACCAATTTGCACTTAAGGATACTATGCTTCTTAATTACTACTGTCAAGATTTTAGACTTTGGTTTATGTTATTGTGTGTGCCGATTTTGGGTTGTGAATAGCAGGCATCTAGCCGTATATATATTGATTTGTTTCTTAGGTCAAGTTTTTTCCAGTTTTTTTTTATAAATATACGTTAAGCAGGTGTTTAATATGAGTAAATATCATTATTTGCCAAACGTAACTAAACATTACGAAACTTCTAAACAAAGTTCTTAAATAAAAGTAATTATAAAAGTGGAGTTATTTAGATAAATGTATCCACAAAAGAACTTTGTAATTACAAACAGAACTGTTTTGTTGAACTGATCACGGTAATTCCAATTTTTCTAATAATTAGAAACTATCCTTAAATTCCCAGCCCTCATTTTAACATATAATAAAGTGTTGTAATAACTCCCGGGACAAATATACCTTTTTGTTGTATTGGTTTGAATAAACTGTAAGACAGGATAACTAAAACATAAATTAATAATTAAGATGATGAACAAAGTAAAAATAAAAAATTACTATCCTAATGGTAATAAGGTTTTTTATAAGAAATAATTTGTTATCGAATTTAAAGAATGCTTCTTATTTTATAAACAGCTACCTTTATTCACAAATCAATAATAATTATAAATAAAAACATCCACTTAAAAAATTAATAGTTAATTATCCTTCAAAAACAATTACTTTCTGCTTTACGAAGTCAAGCCAGATAAGCCTAACCCTCAACTAATCTTAAGGTAAGCATCCAAATCTATTTAGTTGCAGCTATACCGCAAAACAACGTTTTCATGAGATTCTGGCGTAGACAAGCCGAGATAGGTAAAAAGTCAAATATTTACAAACAGGCTAATTTAATAAAATGTGTTAAAGCATCCGCCACACCCAAAAGTTGGGCCATCCAAGGACGCAGAAGATCGTTTATTACAGGACCCTACTCTAAATGGTTGGCAAACTACAAAGTTTTTGTTTTACAATTATGTATCTGTTAATTGGTACCTGAAGTTATAGATGGTGTACGCCCAACAAATAGTTTACGGAAGCAAAAAAAGTCGCCTAAGCTAAAGTAGGTAAGGAAGTTTGGAACTTCCTCATTCTCCAAGTAGTAACTCCTAATTGCAGTAAACTAGGAATAGTTTAATAAACACATACACTATGTCCTGGTAATGCATTATTATTACTTTAAAATTTATAGTAGTCGCTCACAACTGTTTATAACAACCAATACAAAATTTATAAAAACTTATCGAAAATAGGGTCCTACAATTTTGGTTACCACGTTTTGTGGAAGTTAATTGTCTTACTATATTAAATAACTTTAAATATATATTTTTTGGTAGTTTCGATAAGCTTTAAGCTATTAGGTTTAAATAAAACTTTAAACATTTCTCAGTCGAAAGTAAAACGGTTGGACAATTTTTTTTTTAATTGGGCTCCAAACTTAATAGGGGGTAGGTTTTGTGCACGTGGTAGCAACAATTTTCTTGCTTAATACTTTTTTGTTAACTGTTGAGCAATTTAACTTTTTAAGTAAATTTAAAGTTATTATGGTACTTTATAATATTTTATTAATAACGTAATTATTAAAATATTTTTATATAGGCCACCGCCTTGAATCCTGTTCCTTTTTTAACCGAGTTAGTAGGTCGCCCAGGTGTTTTCTTATTTTAATTATTGTTATATAATAATTTATTAATTTTGTGCTTATCTAAAGTCTTGCATATGTTTACTTAGTTATTTGTAAGCTTAAATGGGGTATGGAATACAAAGGCCTTTTAAAATGCTTTGACGCTTACATGAATATTCAAGTATATTATTATTAATAATCTCAGATTATTGTAATCTACACTTTTTTATTAAAAGCTAGCAGGAGCTGAAGAATATGTAGATGGGGTAAAAGTTGGAAGCCTCGGAAACATTTTTATACGTTGTAACAACATTATGTATATTAGAAAAGTTGTCAGTGAGCAAACCTCATAATATTTTAATAGTATTAAACAATAGAGAATTTTATGTTACCTTAAATAAACTTACTTCTACCCAGAAAAATTTGATTATATTTTTACTATTTTGAATTTATATGTTTTAACCATAATATAACTAAAATTTTATTTTATTTCTCTGTGATATTGCAATAAAGCATGTTTAGTTTTGTGGTGCAGCCTAGCTATTTCCTTTTTTTCTTAATATTACCTATTTGCGTTAAAATATTTATAACTAACTTATTTAATATATAAACACGTTTTTCTTTCAACAAAAATTAATATGAAAGACTGGTCTTAAGTAGTATATCTGTTGATGAAAGTATTTCAGCTGCTTATTTTCTAGCTGTATTGCCCATTATAGATTTGACTCTTTTAAACTTTTAAGCATATGGAAATAATAATTTTTATTTAAGTATGGTGTTTAACGCTATCTTCAGATAACTTTTTTTATTTTCATTATCAATTTATTTTTTAGTTTATTTATTAATAAATTTGGAAAAAAAAATCTGTCAATAAACTGCTATACCTTATGAAAACCATCTTGTGCCTACTTTCTTGATGGATACCTAGTTTTTATAAATTTCTTGTATACATTCACAGTTTTATAAGTTATAGCTTTTATTGAAGACATTAGTATTGAGTATAGTTCCTTAAAGACTTGTTTGTATAAAAGAAGATTCTAAGGGATGCTGAGCAAACTTAGTTAATATTTTTAACTTGAAATAAATAATTTGTTGCCAAAGGTGATAAGATTTTTTTTAGAAAAAAAAAGCGGATTTCTTACTCTATAAATATAATAATTAAATCAAAACAGGTATAATAACTGATCTATAAATTATTCCACTTTTAACAGTAATCTTTTAAGATTTTAAAGTTAAATTAATTTTTTGTTTTTCGAAGCTTCTTTGTACAATAATTATTCTTTTTTTTACTAAATATTTGGTTTACTAGTAAAAAGCTTGCCATCCAATTTATCGGTGCCTAAGCGAGCACTCACTACAGACCCAATTTTTTTCTTAAAGGACTGTAGAGTAGCGGATTAGTGTTACCATTTCTTTAAAAAATACTTTCTAGGAAAGGCAGATAGGGCGTAATATTGGTACCGTTAGGATTCGCTTGCCTGCTTTGCTAGCCTTGGCCCCCTTAAGGGTTGAAAAGAGCGTTCACTTGTTACTAGCACTTTATGCTAATTTAAGTAATTCTTTAATAAAATGAGTACAGGCATTATTTGGAAGCTTGTAGTCGCTTAAGTTTAGATTGTAATTGAAACTTATTTGTAAGTTATGACGTGGCCCTATAATATTAAAAAAAAGGCTGTTGTTAAGCTTTCAATAGTATCTAACTCTTAGCCCTCATCCGCCAAGTTACACTCGTCGTGTAAAGATTTATTTGTGAGAAACCAAATCGTTTATAAAAGTTAAGAAAACTTGAAGCGCCTTTCGCAACATGGCTATGTGTGCTGTTGAAATATATTGAGGCTTCTACTGCAGCATAAGTCCTTTATTAGTCTTGGCAACGATTAGTAAACAAGTGGTATAAATTGAATTAAACTATATGTAGTAAAAGACGCAAAATTTTAGAACTTCTCTCACTTTATGGAGGACGGAGTCTGCAAAATACCTCAATATTATATATTTTGTATTAGAGGATTGGAAAGACTAAGTTTACGTTTTCGTGACCACATGATGATTTTTGTTTTATTAGAGTTGATAGTGGTCCGCCAAGACTTAAATTTTTATATTAAGTGACAAGTCATTCTACGTGAGGCATCAAAAACTGTAGTAAAGTATTGTGCCAGCAGTTGTGCTACGAAGTAGTACGGAAAAAATCTGCCATGGAAACTGTAGGGAGCTGATACTGTAAATGTATTCGCCCCCTTATGGTTGTCGTCCTAACACCCTAATTATTTGTCGTTTACTCAATTAGAATATTATTATAATTTAGTTTATATATAGAAGAAAAGCAGTGTAATAAGGTATATTCATTACTCAAATTATTTTATTATTGTTGTTGTTAACTACTTATCTTATTTTTTTTGTTCTAATAAAGTCTATTTTGTTTAATATGGTTGCTGTTTTTGTTTACTTCTTTCTCTTATAACTGCCCATGAGCTTGTACGCATACATTGGAGATGCGACTCCGAGGAGGATTTAACTAGCTAACATGTCTAGACTGTTAGTTAGTTATAACTTTTCAAAGGTGAAAGAACCTAATTATAAACTATATTAGGAAGATACTAGTAATGATATCAAAACTAAAAAGTAATCTTGGTTATCGAGCCTTAGGTGGATGACAAAGTACTGTGAAGGAATATATGCAATAGAACCCTACATGCAACCTAATACTGAGGCGTACCGTCGATGGTAGTACCTTCTTTAATTTAAAAAATTTAATTTGTCAAAATAGTGTGTTTACTATATCTATTTAACACCTTTATTGACACGTTATAAAAGATGTGAGCTCGTTAACTTGCTTCTCGTTTCGCACTTTCTCTCGTGCGTCCATTGTACGAGCTTGTGTCGGAACCTAGACTTGACCGTAACTGCAGGCATAGGTCCAGTAGGTTGATAAAGTTATAACCTTTGGCAACTGCATAGGTCGGCCACTAGATGGGGGGTCGCGCGGTGGCAGCAGGCGGCTGCGTCGTGTTCACGACTGTTGGCAACCTTTTGGGGCCTTCGTTAAGTTTTGTACATCCTTCATGCAAGCAAGGTTTGCGACTTTTAGACTCAATTTTGACCCTAGATGCATGTCGTATCGTGACCAAAAAAGATTGGTCCCTATAGTACGTGGTTCATACGTTCGTTATTCTCGATGTCTTTCGGTACGTTTTTGCCACAGAATTTAGACTACGATGGCCATCCATAGATGGTTTGTCGATTCGTGAGTAGATTGAATGAAATGACGTCGTGTCTAATAACCCTCTACTATGATTGGGTCCTTTGAGCTTAAGTGAATTAATAGTACCCGAACCTCTCTGGGTTCTTTACCAAACTTTCATCGTGAATATGGTTATCCGGCTTAAATCTAGTTTGATTCAGGCACGATCGATGCTTTGGAGAGACGAAGGCTTATTGCTACGTGTGGGAACACATGCTCTTAAAAATGGTAAAAACGACGTATGAAATAGGTTCATTTAGGCAGGTTTTATCTTACCTGTAGTCAAAGGAGTAGTACTACTATCTCTGACTTGTGCTCGCCCAAGTTTATCCCATCGACGGGAAGAGTTTAGCATACTATAGCTGGTTTGACTAACCTATTGGATGAAACTATCTTATTATCCAATACGAGGTATACTAGGTTACCTTCCAGAGGCGGCCCTCTGTGGAAATCAGTGGAAGTTACGTGTAAACCTTTGTGTGTTCACTTTTAGCATACTTATGGAGCACGTATAAGTTGTATACATTCTACTTCTTGTAAGTCACTAACTGCGTGCGAAGGCTTTTGTTAAGCAAGATGTATACAATGGGTAACATGGGAGCACTTTGCCATCAGCCAAGCGACTGAGGTCTAGTCAAGGCTTCGGCTATCGACTATTGATTCTCGCGTGTAACGGTACTAGTTCTATACTAGCGAATTTCGTGGTATAGTACAGGGTACTGTTGGTGAATCATGACCGGGTTTGAGCTAAGCGTACTGTCTTGTGCGGTTGCGCCTGGATCCTTCCTTACCTCTCATAATGTTTAAGAGGGAAATAAAGATAAAGCAACAAAGATGTGCTATGCATACTGACTGTAGTATGGCAGTAAAAAATATAATTAATATATGGTGGTCGTCCAATTCTTGGCGTGACGGGAAATCTAAGTAATAGTAGTGTTTAGAATATACGATTAGAAAACAAGAATGAATTAATTGAAAATAGTTATGTACCTCTAGTTAATCATATTAACTAATGACCTTAGTGTCAATTCCTGCGGTTTTTTTTAGCTTTAATTATCCGTCCCAGCAGGCATAATATCTGTTTCGTAGTAATATTCTTTACGAAAAACATATTAGAGAAACAAAAATTCTATTGAAACTGTCAAGCTCCCGCTGTAGTCTTGTTAAAAAACAGTTTTTGCTTATTGTATTAAGTTAAAAGGTTATTTACAGAATATTATATTATGCCTTACTAAAATATAATTAGAGTTTAAAAACTACATTAAGTAAAGAAGAAGCAAAAAGAGTAAGAGGCAAGAAATGAGTAGTATTAAGCATATAGAAAATTAGTCCAGCTCAACGGCTTTTATACGGATTACTTGATCGGTCATATCTTTTACTCACCACTGTTAGCCAACAGTTTTTTATTAATTCAACTTATAGTTATTAGTCACCACTAAAATATACTTTCCGGATGCAGAGCGTTAAAGGTTGAACGTGATTAACAAATACAAGAACGCCTTGATCTTCTGGATAGTAGGCTACACATCGGGTCTATTTTATAAATGCAAATACAAGTACCACTGTGTGTATGTCGATATCAAAAATTAATGAGGTTACTAAGATGAATTTCCAGTTATGTAAAAAGCTATTATGTCCGTCAAAAAAGATTCGACTTACTATAAACTGAAAATTAAAAACTTTTAAATATATTTTCTACCCCTTTTATCTCCCTCCCCCTTTTTATAAAAACTTTTAAGGTATTTTATTTAGAAGTTCACCTCTGTTGCAAATTTAAGCACCTTTGCGGAAAATGTTAGAGTTAATTATTATAAACAGAAACTAAGAAGAGCTTATACACCAGCCGAAGCCCTGTACAACTAAGACGTTTTAACTTTACTAAACTTGTAAAAATACTAATAGAGAACTACCTCTAAATTATAACACGTAAGAGTTAGAAAAGTCTCCCCTTTCCCTATAGATTAATAGTAAAAACTTTGTAACACTTCTACACTTTTTTCTAAATCATGATAGAATAAGACGTTTTTAATCTAAGTTTTTAGTTTTATAAAGTCACCAAAATGTTAAAAATGTAGTAAAATACTAATATATATCTCTTCCATAACTTTAAGGATTGTTAAACAAAAC